CATTGGAACTACACTTGTGTCAGGCATTGTCACAAGAACCGTGCACTCCATTGGGCCGCTAACGGTCGGCCATCTCTTTTGGAAGCTAATCCTATTGATGGATTAAGAGGGGTAGAAACTTCGCAACGATCGCGCCGCACGCTGCCCAACTCGTTAGCTCGTGAAGGAATAGAACTCGAACGAGCAAAAATATGATCGACCACCCAAATATGGCTTAAGTGTAACAGGGTGAATGCAGATTTTTGCATTTGTACTAATGTGGCGAATAGTGATGGTCAAAAGAGCAAGTTTAATGTCAAGCAAACGGCTGTGCATTCTTCACTCAGTCGGGAACTCACAGTTCCATGACCATAGCCATTTCGTTTTTGTCCTCAAAGGCCTCGTGCAACCGGATCAGCTTTGGATGATGAAGATCCTTCATCACTTCGATTTCATTATGCACGATTTGTCTGTCCTGTGGTGAATTGACCTCCACAAATTTGCATGCGTAAAAGTTACCGGTGGACTTTTCACGACACCGATGCACTACACCAAACGCTCCTCTGGAAGTACAAATGATGAGAAAATGGTGAGCGTGAGTATGAGATCATGAAAGACGTCGAATGGTTAAATGGGGATATTTCAAGGGACTCACTTGCCCAACTCTTCTAGAATGTCATAGTAATCGTAAACACTATCTCCTTTGTGTACTTGCGTTGGTAATGGCTCGCTGTATTCCCAGATGTTTCGATCTGGATGTGGGAAAGCGAAAAATCAAAACGAAATTCCGGCACGCGAACTCGCGACAATAGACTTTGCTTGAATCTACAAGGTTAAACTTACAGAACCGGTCATAATTGTCAATTGGAGGTCCAGTATAATCACCACGGCCTTCGCCTTTTCGGTCTCCCCTTTTCCTCGTATCTGGTTGGATGAGGCGGGCTTCTGTTGGCTTGCAAGGATCACTGCGTCCGTGAAGATTCTCGGCAATAACACGGAACTCATATTCTTTGCCATTGACCAAACCTTCACAATTATACGTCGAAAATCTGGAGGCATATAATTGTGACAACGAAGGTAGGGATGACGGTAGCGTAAAACCGGATTTACGTCAGTGTAGCTCAGGAGAATTACTGTCCTAGCAAGCTAAGTCCTGTTAACTTGTTTAAACTAGGAGCGTCAGTGACAACGATTAAAGAGAAGAGTGATCGAATACAAGCAGTACGCATATCGGGATTTGCACGAGGAAACTAGGTTATCTATTGTCTTGTATTGCAGTTTTAGAGATGAACGCCCCGCGTATCAAGTCCCCAGTGCACCGGCCAACGAAATGACTGCATGCAACCTTACCATCCCATGTGGGATTGTCAAGTTGCTATGGAGACGCATAAAACACAAGGGTCGAATTCTGAAGAAGGCAGTGCACGCAAATTGACATGGTAGCTTCCAAGTCACCTACTAATAAACTAAAGCCAAAACGCAGTGCAGTGTGACCACAAGAATTGTAATGATTGACAAGGTAGTGAAAAGGTAGAGAACGGAATGGATAAAATGTTGGCAAACAAGATCCAAAAGGCTGTAATCTTGTAATGAAATTGTCTCTACTGAGAAAATAATTCCGAGGAGGAGATTCTAATCAAAAGCCAGCCGTGAGAACAAGCTTGTGCTCGGTGGCTCTCACCAGGCCTGTAAATCACAGCAGATAGCTTGTACTAAAACTGACACGAGATATGTAGGCGCGGTAAAGCAACGAATCGAAATTTCTAATTAATATTGTTAATGATAGTGCTGCTTGTGGTAAGGTTGAAGCAGATGATACAAACATCGGTGTTAGACGAGGTGGTTTACAGTCACGACAGCTGGAGTGCTTGGACAAAGTTCTTTCGCGCACACAGGTCCGGATTATGAAGCCGGATAGTGATCGTCTACGGTCGTTGGTAGGCGACATCTCACTGCTCTCGTGTGGCGTACAGATATCAAGTAGATGGATTGAAAAACCTCTTGTGTATTGATGTGATGATTGGAGTCGACCAAGTGCGATAGCACCGAGTTCGTCATTGAATCATTCACATCAGTGTAGAGCAAAGCTGGTCATTTTCTACAGTTAAATTGCTCGATACGAGTAAGAAAAGTAGTGTACATAGAAGGAAAAGTTTTATCTCGGTATTTTATCCTAAAGTTGTTGGCCCAAGATCAATTTTGAGATGAAGATGATAAGGAAGTCGGCTGTATGGTACGTTCTTGCGGCGACACTAGACAGCTTTCGGGTGACTCGGTTAGTCATTACGTCCTCTCTAACGATAGGTAAGATTAGCCGCTTTTCTGCGGTAGCCGGTTTAACTTTTGGAGCTCACGGCTCCATGTGCTTCCTTATAAGTGTATCTGGATGATCCCTGCGTTCGAACATGCTTCAAATAAAACTAATTCTTCTAAAGGCGTGCCCTCCGTGCATATCTTCCCCGCTCTTTCGGTTAGACAACGGATGACGTTGCCTTCCTGACATATTGGAAGGATGTTGGCAAATTGAATGCACTGACCGCTCCAAATTGCTCTCCTGTGCACTCATCTCTGCGCTGACTCATTCGATGACCTGCTGACCTGAATATCCAAGATTGCTACGGAGTGCTCGCGTTCCAGTTCAATAGTAAATGCGACGTGTGCACCACTGGATTGGGTTAGTAAATCTTTAATGCACACTCGGCTATTCGAGACACAAAAATATGTCGGCTATATAACTGTCATAGTTCACCAGATTTTTAACAGATTCACACAGTTGGGTTTTTGTTCAATTTACTCATGAAGATGTCTACGACTAACGGCCCCAATGATAAGCCCATAGCTATCCCGTATATCTGTCGGTAGATTATCCCGTTAAACTGGACCAGAATGTTCCTTGTGTATATGAGTAATAGTTGTTTCAACCGGTTGGTTGGAATACCTATGCTGATGCGGGGTAACTGGATAGATTACAGAGATATGCTATGGTCTCTTTGAATGGAACATGGGTAAACAGTGACACTACATCGAACGAGAACATCTGTCATCCAGTAATCTCAGGTTGTTGCACTGTGTTGAGAAAGTCAAAAGTGTCCCTGAGATTGTAATTGGCTATAGCTTTCCTGAACTGGTTCAAAAGGCAGCCAACAACCAGCAACAGCTTCACAATAGCAATTGGTGTCTAAACACTATCGTAGTTGATCACAATGATCCGACCCTAGAGTGCTGTATATGCCAGGCCGTTGAAGACCCCTACAGAACTATTTCAAAGCCTTATCGCTTTGCGTAACTAAATGCCAAAAGACTTTACTGAGTCAAGTACACTGGCTACGCGAAACACAAGCTGAGGCAGACTGTCAGCATGCATGCGAAACACTGAGCAAAACCTGTGAATGTGACTTTAGTTAAAATGTAATTCATTGACGGACCAGAGAGTGCGTTGCAACCTTAGCAATATGAGCATTGTTCGCTCGATACTCTTGCTCAGAATTGAACAATTCGTCTGGGGGTTGGCAGTGAAAGAAAATTAGACCAATAATGGATTTAAAGCGCAGCAACTAGGTCTCTGATCCATGGTGCAACATTGACGGTATTCGCACTTGTGTACGTCGTCATCGATGATTAAGTCAATCTCTTGCAGTCGCTATTTCTTTCCAAGAGCCACACAGACAGCATCACCAAGAGCAGTGAAGTGACTAGGGAAATGGCTTGGTAAGTGAATTGGTTCCAGTGGCTGATTGACAACTGCGCAAACCGATGGGTTATCAATCCATTCCTGTAGCAATTCCCTAGATTCTTGCGAAGCAAAGTACAGACTAAAGTGCACAGCACTGTGCCAGTTTATTGAGTAACGTCAAGTGGGCTCCCGAAACTGGTATACGAACGGTTGAGGATACGTTTGTTAGTTAAGTTCAGAAAAACAACCGAAACAAGATCGTTCACAATAATTTCGCACACGAAGTCAGATGAGGAATGAGAATAGAGCAGCGTAGGAGCGCCCAGCTTTCTCAGTCAACAAGATGAAGAGCTAACCGTGAACCGCTACACCATCCCAGTTGCACAACTGAATCTTTCAGACAAAGTAAGTTCTTTTTTGGACGTCTGAAACCGTTTCTACACAAATAGTGACCATAGGGTTAGTAGAACTGGGCCTTCAAGTCGAACGAAATTGTCGTGGTAGGTGGTAGGCAGGTGTGCTGATGTCCCAGTACGTGGAATGTTCATTTGGTGACTTGCACGTCGAAATTTATCATTCGTACACTACTGTTCTGTTGAGCACCAACGGAAACCCATAACTAGTTCTGCTTCATGTAATGAGCATGTCCGACAAAACCGGCAGCATTCATCAGGTATCCGTATTACTGCATCTGCTAATCTTGACAGCTCCAGTGATTCTCAACCTGGTAAGAGGATCAGGGCTTCTCGCGCATATTTTACGAAGTCAACCAACCCGTTTGTAGTTAGGTGTAACATTAAGCCTACTGAGTTCACGAACAGTAAATCAGGCAAACTCGATTATATCATGCAGCAGTGCACTCTCGCGTCATTCTCGGCATACTGGAAAAGAGAACAAAGTTGTTTTCAGAGAAACTTGACACCGTTGCTTTTCGAGCCAGTGTGCGAACTACTCGCTAGCACCATTAATGGTGCACACTTCGGGGCTGCTGTTCACAGCGAACTAACGAAGTGCATCACTTTCAAACAAAAACGCATTCTACTAGGCACCGAAAGGACTCCACGTGCTATGCCTCTCAGAAAAACGTTGTTTGTTTTCGGGGATCTGATACAGTGTTTGTCTAATTTTTCACTAAGATATCCATGGATACAATACTATCACTTACCTGTGGATGACAATCTAGTTGTATCGGAGTTGGGGTTGGTGATAATGTGTGTGCTATAGCTTGTCACTTCGATTGAGCCCAACAGTTGCACGTTTGATGTGTGCCTGACATTTATTACCAAGTGAACTGTCAGATCTAGCTACGATCCATGTTTAATTCTGTCAAGGTCTCTAGCAGTTCTATGCCATAATCTCAGTTAGTGACTACAGGCGCCGGTTAATCGCTGATGACAGAGCTGGGGTCCACAATCTTCGTGACAGTAGCAGGCTCAGCGCTGCTCCATCAGGTAACCAGCCGTGGCTCAGTCACCAACCTGTGTAACTTTGGTGTGTATGCCTCCTGAATTTTATATGTGTAGTATGTAGTTTAAGTGTGGGCCAGCACCTAATTGATCGGGCAGGGTAAGTGGGTGTAGCTGTGGCCGGTGCATCGAGAAACGTCCTCGGTGGCCGTTCGTATTCACAGTAACGCCTGAATCCGAAGATAGATGTCACTGACCACGGTCTAGAAAGTCAGAGAAAACCAGGCACTTCAGTAATTGAAAAGGTCTAAACTTAGCTAGCTGCTTGATCACATCACTTATTTGGCCCCTTTGCAAGAGTAAGGTTTTGCGTGGAATTTAACTCCCCACGAGCCCTACTGTATCAGTTAAAGACACGCCAAAAACAACATTGCTTTTCTATCCTCTAACTTTATACACATGCTCCAATGCAGGTCGAGAATCAGACTTGATTTCACTTAGTAAGAAAAATGGCAGGTCGTATTATGAAGACGGACTGACAGGGGGGATTAATCACGGTAGCATTGCACCAATCTGCAGAGTGAGAATTCAAATTCAAAAGTTAAGTGAAGATAAAAATGGGCCCTTTTATACAGGCACCTAATACCCATGTCTTGTTACAAGAGTAATTTTATGCTAGCTAATGGAATTACAAAGCGTTAAGTAGTACAACTTGTGCATAGCAAAGACAATGTAAGTCGATGTTTAAGAAGAATACAATGCCCCTTTGTAATGGATGAAAACAGCAGGGACGCAGACACTGATGAGTGAATGACCGCCAACACAAAGGATAAGTGTGCATTTGAGTACACGTAAGCTAACAATCATATATACTGCCTTCAAATAGCAAACGTTTGGTAATTATAATCGAAGACAGAAAGTAGCCCCTTATATACCAGACCCGAGAAGTCGTCCATTATAACACTAATACGGGTATCTTAGTAATTGGGTGGAAAATTGGTGCAGTAATTAGCTGAGTGCACCATGCAGGTCAGTTAATTGCGTGCACACAGCAGAGACTGAATGAACAACTTTCCACATTGAACTTTCTGTTTGGTGGAATGCTACCAATCCCGCATCGGTTGTGAGAACCACTGAACATCTTGCGGTCTTTCAACAACAAATGCAAAATATGACCTAAGAGAATTTTGCTTGATGGCACTTGGCGGCAGAAATTAGAACAAAGCAGAACAAAAGAGTGTAATAACTCAGGTCAACGATAGCCTGTGCGCTTGGTAACAAAACAAGGAGTTGGAGTGTCTCAGTTCTTCGTCAATCAATGCTCTCCTACCTATCGGACACCATGCATTACAATGTATTTGGTCCCGCCACTTTCGCTATTTGTCTCAAATTCACTGCAACCAAGGTGCAAACCGGAAAACTGATTTGCATACGCCACATGGAAAATGTCTGTCCAATGACGTCTGAACACGTGTGATGGACGTTAGCCGGCTGTGTTTGGTGCTGAGCAGACAGGCTAACTGGCTCTTGGCAGTGTCCCTGATACTCATGGGAATATTGACTGCTCTTTTGCACCGTTTGCTGTTTCTATAGCAAACGACCAACTTGTCAGTAGCGTATTACTCCTTTAATCACTATCTGAATTGCGTGTCAACTCATCCTTTTAATTCCCAGGTTAGCCCTGTAAACAACGAAGCACCTATGGACTTTCGTCTTCAAGAGAGGTGACATTTCTGATATAATACGTGAGCCACCGTACGTCAACCTAGTTCGTAAAGCACCGCATAATCTAATGAATGAACAGCTTCAAAATGGCGATACCGTTTCTCGAGATTATCCGCTCATGCAACGATCAAAAATTTTCCGCAGCTCCCTCGAATTCACATCATAGGTTTAAAAACAAACCATTGGTGCTTGTTGGTATTTACAAGTGCAAAAATGATTCCGTAACCATTTGGGTGTAGCAGCAGATCTTCTTTATCCGACAGTAACATATCTAAAGAACGCGATTAATAGAGAAGGATCAATCAACTCGATAGGCTGCGTCACATTAAACGTCCTATTCGCGTATATATAACTTGATCTTTAGAGTACCCGATGTGTTTAGATTGCGCCAAGCAATCTCAACTTGGACCAATAGCTGTTTGGAAGCCAACCTCGGTCTTCCTGTTTATTGGGACTGTACCTAAGGTCGAAATATTCTCCTCATATGCGCAAAATGCTAAACTCCCCGACAGACTTCGTCCTTCTCTGGGCCCCGTAGGTAACGAGAATCAGTCTGGCTTGGCATAAAACCCGAAACATCATGATTCTTCGGTGGACGCCACTAACTCACCGAGATCTATGTCAACAGCTGTCCTGGTGTTCGGAGGTACATTGCTAAGTACTAAATTGCCTGACGTAAAGAGTCGAGGCCAAGTCGAAAACAGCAGAAGATTGCAGTGTTGATAACAAACAGCGTGAGAAATGTCACTCCTTCGGAAGCAATGGAAGTGTTCAGAATAACCGTGTTTTTATTCTAACCTACTAACTGTCTAAAACGAAATCATGTGTCGCAGTTCAAGTACACAGTAGGTGTTACAGAAACCCCTAAATGGATCTCTAACCGTGGTGGCCATGTCCGTTGGCTATGTCTAGACCTGCTGCTCAGATAGATTTAGCTCCATCTACCGAGTGCGTATATAAACGAAACTAGTTCCGGAGAGCATTGTTAGGAGCGAGTGACACCACAAAGTATGGCTTAACTTCAAAGAGAAATGCTTCGGTTGCTGATGTGGTGGGAAAGTACGATTTCGAATTTGGCCTTACTCGAAACTGTGGTACTATGTCCACTTAACCGAACGAACATGGGTATTGGAGAGTCTATATATGTTAGCGATTGTGCCCCATGCTGACACTGATGTTGCATTCTTGATGCTTCTTCACCACAGTTGGGCTAAACCAACTTACACTTAAACTAGGTTTTATAAGCTGGATAAATTTCATTCCACTATATTTGGTTTGTTCTGCCGACCTGAATAATCTTCTATTAACGGGCCACGTTGCTTACACTGAGTGCGCTTATCTTCGGTAATTTTGTTGCGTTTATAGCATTTTTAAGTAACTTGTGAACATTTCTTACTTATCGCGGATTCGTTGCTAAGCAACTTACTTCATATGCTAATTTAGCGAAGAGTTATGCCACCGTATCTGTATGCATTATTGGATTTATTTTATATCAGCTTGTCATTTAAAGGGAATGGCTGTTGCTCGATATCCCCGGTGTGGCTGCGCTTGATGTGCATGTTAACAAGATGCTTTCCTGTCTAGTACCCACTACCTCGTCCATACTGTCTCTAGGATATAGTTGGTCGTTGCTGAAGGGGACGGGGTGCACTTTTCTTGTGGTCGTGCTAGGCTCAAAGAGTGGTTCCATGCAATCAGTGTGGAGCGGACTACGGTCCAGCCACCGCCTTGTGTGCGCTTGATTCCCCAAATACAGCGTGCTTGTGTTTGTCTGTGAAGGAGTGTGGGCCGGCTCCGTTGATGAAACGTGGCTCCCATCCACATGCCTCCCGGTCTTATTCCTTCGGGTTTACACTGGATATGAGGTGTGTGGTTGGAGCTGTGGATGGTGCAGCGCAAGTCACCTATGGTCCCTCTGTAGGCGCAGGCATCCTGTGGCTGGCCACAGTGACAGGCAAATCCGAAACCGGATGCCGCCAACCATATGTTAGCGATTATGGGAACTGCCATCAATTGGACAGTTAGGAATTTTTAGTAGACAGGGTAAACTTTTGGCTAGCGAACGTTCACCGGATCAGTGATGGAGGCCGAGTACAATACGATGCATTATATGTGAAGAATCCATAGGAATAAATGAATGAAACGCGTTATTCCGAAAGTCGTTTGCAAGTAGTGTAAAGTGCAGTATTGTTGACGACTGTGAGCAGGAGGTTATGATAGCTAGTGTGAAGCAGCCCCCCCCAGAGTATCAATTTATAGTATTACATATCAATGAGCCAGTACGCGAAGAACTTTATCACGGAACTGTTTGATATTCCAAACGGTCTAAAGCCATTCGCCTAACCTAAGAGTAAAAGCACCAGAAACATCGGCGCACAACATTTCTCCCACAGACGTTACAGGCTGGTGTGCTTTGAGTTTGCATTAGATGTGTTCAACGGCAACCTAGTGTACAGCGTTGTAGAACTAGTTACAAAACACCATGGTCATTGTGTCCACACCCGTACATTCACCAACATAGTTGCTGCAGAATTGCAAATTGTGTACCACGTATTTTCTGGTATAGCATACCTGGTAAGGAGATTACAGTGACCATCAGTGTTAATAAGAGAGCAGTGGGCCGAGTTATGCGATAGCTTAGCTTAAGATCTCATTGATGGACAACAACGTTTGAAGAGATAAAGTGCCATGTAGAGAAAGAGTACCCACGCCTTTTTAAAACGTATGCTTGTTTATGTGCTTAATATCTCTATGTTCTACGTATATGTGTGACAGTCGAAACCACTGCGTCAAGATAGCAAGAGTGTACCTGAGGCGTTATCAACTTCATATTACCATAACCCCACAACTCACAATGGTATACTCGTGTACCAGAATATACTGTAATGATTTAAAGGCTGCAAATGCAGATAGCACCACCAAACAGCAATCTTTGCTCGCTTTCCTAACTAGGAACTAACCGGTTGGTCCCAGCTCTAATCCAAGAATCGCCGGGTAGCTCCCGACGCTCGATGATATATTGTGAAATGTAACCAGAGTTCGCAGGCATTGACCAGGACAGTAACGCCGATCCGTCGGCTACTCCTTCGACTTTGAGGTTGATGGGCGGTGGGGGCCGGTCATTGATGCGCAATTCAATCGTTGCCGAATCAGAACCCATTTCATTCTCCAATTCAAGCTGCAGTTTGCCCGAAAATTCTTCACCCACGTTATCCAGAGTTAGAATGGCGTGACGGTCCTTCAGTGCCATCTGGACCTGCTTTCCTTCTCGCAATTCTTTCCCGTTCAGCTTCCAAGTAGCCTTCGGTTTAGGGAATCCTGTGTATGGAACCTTTACTTGGATGGTGTCACCCTTATCCCACTCGGTTGGTTCTTGCCAACGACTTGGCAGGTTAATACGTGGTTTACCTGTGAAAGAAGCATCATTTTGGTGTGTGGAGTATTTTTGCACATACAGCGTGTCTTAAGTAAATGTGAGTGGGAACGATGAATTGTCAAGCTTGAACAACTATTCAAGAGGTTACCCTTTTGAATAAGGCTGCTGTCTATGTTGAGGGACAATTTGCTATTGACAGAAAGGGTTTATGTGTGAATATAATCAGATTGGATATCATCGTGAAGCCCACCCAATGCTCAAATTGGTATTACAAAACTCTTTCCATGTCCTCCAGACATCAGCCAAAAGCTCACATAGCGATAGCTTCATCATCCGTCTATCCTCTGGACAATATCTCGGCTCGCTGAATGCAATAAATAAGTAACAGTTCGGGGTATCTAGAGACATGACAGCATCATCGGTTGGGGATCGAGGTGGGGGTAAATAAAGATCCACTACCCATGTGAAGTCATAACAAGGCACAGAAGAAGCGATGGACTCACACTTAACGGCCAATGGTGCACGACTGATTTTCGACCCAGCGCGATTGAACACCTTGACGCTGTACTCCTCGGTGTCTTCCATACCGCAATCACATATACGTAAAACATGTTTGCGACCTTCCTTGATCATTTCAATGCGATGCGAAGGGACCAAATCGCGAGGACCTTTAGACCACACCACCTCATAATTAGAAGGACAATCAACTTCGATTTCAAATTCCACATCGTGACCTTCACTCACTGTTTGAGCTCGGAGACTACCGATCAGGGTTGGTCGAGAAACAGCTGTGGAACACAGAAGAGAAAGAAGAAGCGGAATTAGTGAGGAGTGTACTTGCTCCACAAAGACGTCTAGCACTTGATAGTGTCCAGTCCGCTGATCTGGGCTGCTAGATCCGATGGAATCACAGAAGGTCACTAAAGGGTTTCACAGAAAATCACAAGTGTCAGGAGTCTACCGAGAGTGGAATGCAATGTTAAAAAATACCAATCGAATCGAGTACCCAGTTTATCCAATTTTGATTGCATATTTCAATCCAGCCACCAGACATAAAAAGCTCCAGGTAAAGGTAACATAGATTTGTTGTCACAATAATTGGCCGCAAATATGTGTCCATAATCCAGTTCGTGCCGTTGGAACAGGTTCTAAGAGCAATCTTATTGGCCCCAAATTTAATAGGGTGGAAAGTTGGACGCCACATACTATTCGGGTGACTACTTTGAAATAGCGCGTGCCTCTAAGAAGATGGCTGAGTTGCGGGGCTGGGAATGACTCAGTAGATGACTCTCCTGTCGCGATTCCCAACACACCAAAAAATCAGTCGAATATTATGACAAAACTGCAAGAAGTAGGTATAGCTTAAACAACTAAGGGAGGAGGCGACCACAGAAATGAAGCCTATCAATCCTAGTCGTTGTAGGTGTGAGGTAGGACTGCACAACAGGAACTTCGCATCCGTAGGGGACACCATCCGACACCATCAAGCCACTGAATATGCCCCCAATGTCATCGTGTGCCACGAAGCGGGTGGGTATCTGGATGGTGACATCTAGTGTTTTTTCCTCATTAAACCAGGTTAACCAGCGGAACTAGTTAAAAACCCCATGCTGTGCTATGCTAGAGTTTCGGTGGATTATAGTAGCATTAACAGTTGTATGGACAGTGTTGATCAAACTGTTTGCACAGAGTAGTATCAAGCGCTTTCATGGAAGCATAGCTTACACGGGTTGACAAGATTTTACTGATGTAAGAAAAAGTTTTCCACTGGTGTCTTTTCTGTGCCTTTGCCGTGAATAGATTGAGGTGAGACCATGACATCCCAGAGAATATCATCACTGGATAGGCTAACCGGTTGTGTCGGAGAATAGAAAGAAAGGCATAAAACTGATGACGGCGCATGGGCTACCTCCAGCATCGGGATGAGCATCAATCATTTTCGTTGGCACTGTCACGGTCCTTCCGTGACTACCTGGAGAGCGTAGTACGGACGTCTTGCCTGTTCAACCATGTCACTTTTGCCTGCCTACTATGTTTTGAGCTACTGAAGTAACTTTACCACACGTATGCAAACTCCCTTTGACCCTAGCTCTACTCGTTTTTCATCAGTATATGCCCAAATGTGCACATGCTGTAGTTCCTCATTTAATGACACTCGCACTGCTCGAGTTGGAGCTTTGATAATCCCCTATGCCTTGGTGGTTTGCGCGTGCTGAATTACCCCACTTTGACATATATCCACACCTACTGCGGACTGACTGAGTGGATCATCCACCGCCTTGCTTTAACTCGCGTCTGAACGCATCTCCATCAGTTGGCTATTCGACTCGTTGCGCTGCAGTTGCCTGGTACTTCGATTTAGCATCGCTTCCTGATCGAGTTCAAATTGGGAATCGAATTGTTGTGCCTTTGTGATGTGGATATTGTTGAGAGCAGTCTAAAAGCTGTTGCTCTAAGCCCCTAGGAAATAGCACCATAGCTCATACCTGGCTTTGACTTCTGACTTGACTTGGGGTACAACGCGTTGAGCAGTATCCACGAGTGATGCATCGGTTACAGAACGAACTGGTTTTCTGGTGGAGTTCGAGTTCATTTGGTGCATGTCGATACATTGTTGATTAGACATTGCTTAATGGATGTGTTGACTTGAAAAAATCAAAACTTTGGTTCTCCTATCCCGTCCTTAAGTCGATAAGCCGGGGGATTTGTAGTACTGAGAGAATGGAGAACTAACCAGTAGTTAAAAACACCTCGTCGAATATAATGTAAAGACTAGGAATAGCGTACTATTACCAGCTACTGACTCATCAGTTTATCAGCTTATCCGAAAAACAACGTGTATTGAAGATGGTGATGGTGACGGTGTCTGCTGGGTGGTTCGGGTTTATGAGTTCCAGCAAGTAGTTCGGCGGCAGTGTTCCAGGACGTGGCGAGCGTTCTCCCTATAATAATCCACAAATGTTCGTTTAACAACCCTGTGACGTGACGGTTGCGACTCAGCACCAAATAAATTCATCCCTCCTTGCTTATCCGTACAATCGTCTCAAATCCACGGGAGTCAAACATCCATGTAGTAATGGCGACACATTCAAACACAAGCAAGATGCAGCAAAACATGTACAAAGCCAAGCAACACAGCTACACCATCCTACACGCATACATACATACATTCATGTATCAACATAAAGAACAATCCCATCAGACTATTGTGAATTCCTTGGCCACTTGCTGTAACATTACCATGATCATGCAAGTGCAGACGTGCCTCACTTAGCAAAGAATAAAAGTTTATTTATTTATTTATTTAAAGCCTGTAGCTGCTATGGCTGGACAGCCAGAGAATAGTAATCATTTTTATCTGACCTCATGATTTCCTGAGTCACATGTGTCCGACATATATCTAGGTTCACTTGTAGTGATCTGTCCGGCTGTCATGTGTTCATAAGTAAAATGTTTTGGCTACTTGATCTGAATGATCTGTACTCGACTTCAACTATCCATCATCACCCGAGGTTGTGATAAACCACAGCAACACAGACAAGGAAGTGTGCGTTACAGGAACTCTGTGCTACGTCTCAGCAATGTGGAGAAGGTACCACTTACATGGCCTATGAGCACGTTTGTTTTGCTATCGGCAGTGAAGGTAGTTAAATAAATAAACAATTCGATTTGCGCAAGACATGCCTGAGCAGGCATGCTCAGGCGCAGAACATAATCTGATAGACTAGTTGGTGGGCATGCAACAGTAGAGTAGCAATTTATATCGGCTCGTCGCTGCTGTACAACCATAAGAGCCCAACTAATGCGGATGAAAGATGGAGAAGCGGACCTCAGGTAAAGCCCTAATGCCCTAAGAAAACATCGCCGAGCAAGGTGCGCAACAACACACAAGTACAAAGAGCATTTTCGGTAAAGTGATAAGGCAGTATCGTTGAGATAGTTTGCTTGTGATACTTACTGCCTCATTGGTATGCTTCAAACAGTTAGTCGAGATAGGAAACGATAGCAGACATGTCACTATTGATAACTGCGACCCGTATCCTATGAGGTTTCGAGCCAAGCACAAAATGTGTTGAGTGGACTCCATCTTGGTAGATCTAAACTTAGTTGTCTAGCTTCGTTCTCCCGCCATCAACACAAATTTACCACTACTGAGCTATGCGCCATCTAACACAGCCTAGAAGAACTGAACGATGTCCTCTTCGGTAAGAGGTGAGCAGGCATACGTTGCACGTGATCATACCAATGCAATCTATTCACTGTCCCTTGTTGTCTTAGGAAAGTAGTCTGATTATCACCAGCTAGCACTCGTCTGCGAACCTAGTCTTGGGGGACAAGCTGGTGCCATCTGACGCCATCAATCTTCCGCAAACATGGATGAGCAGAGATTTGAAGGCGTCTCGAATCCTTAGATGGAATGGACAAAGTCCAATTCCCATAAGATTGTAAGGCCTTCACTGTGGTCGCGTAAACTCACCCTTTCAGAACGTGGGATATCCCCTTTTGCACAACATATGTCTCATACCTTGGAATGCATTGCTATCACATTGGTGCTAATGATTCTGCTGTCAAGATGACTAATCAAATAGGTCTAACTCCTGGTCGTCAAGAGTCAAGGGGTCATCAAGTGGCTGGTAATATTATGCGATACCGTTTAGCTTTGTAAAGATGCTAAATGTATGTCGAGGGAGAACAACACTCAGTAGGGTAAGTTCGGGGGGTGGGGGTGGGGTGAACGATCATGCTGCCTTACGAAACTCAAATAGCAGGATGATGTTGCCCGCATGACCAAAGTAAATCAAATGCTACCTTGGTAGTACCTCAATTCCTGTGTCGTGACAGTCCGCGTTAAAGCTGAATAACGGCGGGAAAATTAGTCAACCATAGCGAACACCGTTTCTTGCAAACAAAAGATCATATAGTTTACTGTAGACAGCAGCGCATCCTAAGGTCTTCTATATGTGAGCAAGTAAGAGATTCACATACGTCAGGTGAAAACATTTCTGGGTAAGTAAAGTGGGATGGTAGCTCAAAGGTTATGCTAACGAAACCGACGCGCCTACAGTGGACTGGAAAACCAATTAGTGCCGCGAGCACAAGTTGGCCAGACTTACACGGGCCGGATGAAAAGTAAGGAAATGGCTTACAGTATTGTCAGCCAGGTAGGTATTTGGTCCCAGATACAGGCAAACGAGTTGTCCGCACGCGATAATGACCTGGAGCGAACGACACGTGATGCGATGGTAGCTGGTCGACCGAGTGGGCGGAACCAGCAGATGGAAAGGAAATCAGTGTTGCAGACGCAACCTAATCACATGTGCAAGGACCTGATGGAAAGTCTTGAGTGGGGTTGGGGTATTGGGAACAGAGCGCAATTTCGCTTCACTCAAGGTCAGAGTGATACAAACAGCTTCGCACGAACGATGAGCGTGAGCCAATGAACTTAGTCATATATATATATATATATATATATATATATATATATATATCCAAGTCTGTAATCAGACAAATGTGCCATTCGAACCATGGTGGTAGGGAAAGGAGACTATAATGTTTAACGAGAGAGAATAAAACGTTACAAAAATGTTTATTTTTCAGTTTCACACACGCCGTTTTGAGTTTTTCGTGTTTTTATTTTCATGCTTTGTTCAAAAGTATAAACTACATGATGAAACGATAGTGGAACAGCATTGACGCCGTTGACTCTTATTGCGGGCCATATCCTCCAAGACTTCCAACCGTTGGGAATCCGCTTCACGTAGTCCCCAGCCAGGTAGACGCACGGACCCAGCTGACGCTAGACACGAAGTTGGAATCTTCACACTCCTTTTCCAGATCATTGGTTGCACTCCGCGACTCCTTTTCCATTCGTGTCCAGGAAGTACAAATAATGCGCGACGTGGAAGGCGGTGGGCCGGGATGCGCAGTACTTAACCTAGCCAACGCAAGTGGATGGTTATGCTCTGGAGACAAGGACTGTCCGCTTCCATGACTCTGCTTCTAACTTCGCGTTGCTCACATGGTGCTGTCACCATACGCGGACAATCGAACGCAAGCAGCGGTTGTCTCAAATCTTCCGATCGAACAGGTCAGGTCTCGTAGCCGTACAGTAGGACAGCACGGACTGTGGCATTGTACACTCGGCCTTGGAGCTTGAGACTGACATCGCGACGACGCCACAAGTGTCTCAGGTTAGTAAATGCAAGGCCAACTTTGGCAATTCGTTTTGAAATGTCATCGCCAATACTGCCACCAGTCGTAATGCAACTCCCGATGTAAGTAAGGCTGTTAACGAGCTCTAGGCTGACACCCGGTTTGGCATTTTAAAGGTAATACGATTTGGCCTGAGAATTGCTACGGCGGATAGGTCGTAGCAAAGCAAGTGCCATTTTGGTAGTTTCGTGCCGTCTCGTAAGGCGACAGATAGTTGTTGAGAACCCGGTCGTGAAAAATTCGTGTGACGAACCTGTTAATTTTGGCATTGAGCACCCATAACCACTCTAAGATAGTGTGGCGTGATGAAACTCAGACATCATTGAAAAACCTGTAAATATCAAGGAAGTGTGACAAGCGCATCCAGTTGGCCATCATAATCTGCATACTGAGGTCAGTGGAGGACCTACAACCACAGTGTGGTTAAACAGATAAGAACAAAGTGTTAAGAAACCGTTTTTTCCAGAGGATAAAGAGTAATTAACGCAGTTAATAAAAATTCGCTTCAGTTGGATCCGGTTAAACAGGCGCGATGGAAAACCACGTGATCAATCAGGGCTCGCTGGTACTGCGTGCTCAACATTTACTCTGGCTGCGAAAAACTCTATTCAGAAGATTTACTTCTTGCATTATTTTCACCTAGAGTGAACTGTACCAAAGTTGCTCAAAATGGTTCAGTTTTATTAGTGCTTGAACCTTAGGAGGTTGTTGCTTATAAAGGCTACTCCGTTTTCCTTGCGGTCGTAACGTGGAGGGCAGTAACTCTGTAAATTAGTACCCAACGAGACCAAGAAAATGAAAACCCTTAGTAAAAAAACCCTAGGTCACAGTTTCGATTCCCTAACTGGGCCCTGGGACTGTGAACTGCTGAGGAGTTCCAGGAGGGTTGAGCGGCCGTTCGGCGCTTTTCCGGTTGTTGAGAGCATCCAGCTGCGGTAAAATTCAGTTAAACCCACTAAATTCCCCTTATTCCATGCAAGTCATTTGTATCCCCAGGTCACTTCACTATAGCATGCGTAACTTTTGGATGTGGTTTTTATTCCACTAGGCTTTCTGTGGCTTAGGATATCGTCAAACTTTGACAGGCCACTTCCTAGCAGTGAACATCAAGTAGTATATGCTGGGACATGATGTCGGGAGAAATCTCATGTATGCTAAACTGGAATCCAGTGCCTTCTTGTGAGGTGGACAAACTTAAGTTTGTCCTAGAACCTGGCAAAGAAAGGCTCAGGACCGTTGATAAACATGCTTTCTGTCCAAACATTCATGATAAGCCAAATTCACTCACAAGCACAACGAGCGATTATCTAGTTTACACGAAATGGCCACCACATAATTGTAAGACGGAGAGCTCGTGTCACTTCCTGTACCATAACGTCAGGTCTTATATATGAAATGTGACGCTTGAGAGCATGGTTTTCACAAGGTTATGAGAATTAGGATATTGGAGTGAAAGTCTGTTGCTAAAATGCTAACAATGATTGATTTGGGTGAGTAACATGTTAGTTTCAGTACTCAGACCGAAAGCTGCCATTTGTACTCAGGCACTTATGCGCCTTTGTCCCCCAAGTTTTACGCTATGTCCGGAGCTTTGTGATTAGAGAAATTTGACAGTTTCGCAAATTCTTTTCTGCACCTCAACTTATGCTGGTGCGTGAGTAGAACTGCACCTGATATCACACAAAAACCGCTAAATTTCCTCCGCTACTCTGTCTGCCGGGTGCGTCACTATACTGCCACATTCACATGGTTTATGAAAATATGAGCGCTAATATATTTCGATACTGATCTTGGGCGAATTCAAAAATTCCACCCGTTATGTTCCCAATCGTTGTCATGTGGTCTACCGAGCTTGTCACCTGAACCTAAAAGTTTCCTAACCTTGAGAAGTATGACCTTGAGCCGCACAAAGACGCGCAATTTTTTTAAATTATCATACTTGTTAGATTCAGGACACTGTACATTAACTGCTTTGACTAAGGTGTATACCGCTTGACATTTCAAGTTTTTAGACACGAATTACCACACCGACAGAATCCAGGGACCCACTCACCTTTAGGATCTTTGACCAAAACAGGTCTATCGATAACGCTTGGTTGACTCTCTCCAGCGTCGTTGACTGCTAACACGCGAAATTCGTACGTGCAATCCTCAAGCAGGTTGGGCACATTGAAACTGGTCGTGAGGACAGGTTGCTGAGTAATGCGGGACCAGTTGGGCGAATTGACCTCCCGCTTCTCAATGTAGTAGCCCCGGATACGCCCGCCTCCATCTGAGCTCGGTCGTGTCCACGATAAGTTGACAAAATCACTGCCAACTTCGTTGCACGTCAACTCACCTGGTTTACCAGGTTTATCTAGGGATAAGGAACAGAGTTATACATGAAGGTGAGCTTCTGTTACCTAACGTGTGTACAAACTTAGCACTATGGTTCCTGATCTGTTTGTGCCAGATGCAGTAGAACTTACACGGAGACATAGTGCAATACGCTCGAGTTGTTTAAAAGGGAGCCATGGGAGTAATGAGTTGGCAGCCAACCTCCATTAGTGGCTAGCCTTAGCGGAAAATTTAGCAATGAAACTTTTGGCACGCTACTACTGCATTAGCCATCCTCTATAGATCTATTGTGGCACGATCTACGATGCTGAATTGCATCGTCCGGTCCAGTGAGGACATCCAATGCAGGTACCACGATACAAGTAAGCGCATGGTCAATGCTCCAAACTGAATTTTGAGATACAGGTTACACTGAAAAATGTAGGATGCAATCGGCATTGTTTAACCATTTGGTAGGGAAGTTTGTAAAAGAAACACACCTGTCTACGAAACGTCAATTAACTATCAAATAAACACGAACGACGATTTCAACTAGATCGAAACCATCTATAGCTTTGCTCAGCCAATTGAGTGCACAGGGCTTTCAAATTCCTCCTTAAGGAAATCATGTTCCTTCATGGTCATAGTCCATAACGTTTTCAAGTTAAATCCAGCGGGTGCAAACACCTAAAACGTACATGCTGCTGGTAGAGTGACCAAGCTCAATAAGCAGATAATATAACAGACGAGCTACCAGAGTGGGGCGAGATGGTCTGGGTTCTAGTTGGTCACTACATGGACTGTAGCCTTTAGGGGCATTTGTACCCGCTGGACTCAATTTGCAAGCGTTATGGACCATATTGAAAGATCCATGGAGAAAAATGGTTTTGTTAAGGAGAAAGTTGAAAGCACAGTGGATTCGGTTGGATGAGAAAAGCTATAGCTGGGCTTTGATACGGATTCAAGACAACTGATCCTCTCGCTTAAGTCATTTTGCGGATTATTCGATGGACCCGAACGAAATATGTGTGCGTGCATGTGTGCTAATTACAAAGGGATCCCATAAAATGGTTACAAGCGGGGATTAGAGCACACAGCGCCGCATGAGCTAATCAGCTACTGGCAACCGCTCAGCTGTTTCCATCTGACGTAACATAAAGGCGCCCTGTTGATCCTCTTTAAAGATCTAGTTTTAAGCATCAAAATTAAGTGACTATCTACATTTAACGCGTTACGCAAAAAGTCGGTATTGTCACTGCTGATAGATAAGACTGTCTATAAAGACTGTTATAGCGGTGGTAAGAATACTCCACCACTCCCCGTGGTTTTGTGAGTTTTATTCTATTCACCCCTATTCATCCCGTCCTCTTTTACGGTTCCCCACATACGCTTTCTGTTGCCTCACATTTGTGACTAGCTTGGGTTTTTCCCTTACCCTGTACCTTTCGCTCGTTTGTGAGACATCGTATCGATCCTTTGCCCCTGGAATGACTAGCTTTGATTGATCGCTTGTCAGCCTTCCTGCATAGCCTGTGTATATGCCATAATTTGAATCATGCCATTGAGTTGCACACACAGACGTTTGGTGGCCGGTTGGGCGTGCGGCGTGAACATTGTTTTTTCACCCGGTCGTTCGTGTTCTCGCTACCGTTAGTGGGTGGAAGCAATCGTGGGGTTCCGACACAACAAAGACGCAGTATTTTAACTTAATGATCGAATACTGAGAACAAACCTGTTTGTTAGGCTGGTATTCCAGGCTTAAGTTGGACGTTGTTTACAAAATGCCACACCTTAACGAGTAGCTGATCGTGCTGGTGCGTGCGGGTTTTTGGCGGATGAACTGTTGAGAACGTGACCTAAAACCGCACTGGCACAGACGGATTTTCAAGGACGCATAGCTCACCGAACGGATATCTGGCGATCAATGGCTCAGGCAATTCTATCCAATCTCCTTGGCCACAGTCATTGACAGGGGCCACACGGAATAAGTATTGGCCGTTCTCCTGTAGACCTTGAATTTCACATGTGGGCTCGCGGCAGCCAGACGACACAGGAACCCATCGGTCGCGGCCGACTTCTTTTTTCTCGACGACGTAGTGTGTGACTTTGGAGCCGCCGTCGGAGCGTGGAGGTTTCCAGCTGAGTCGAGTGCTGAAGGGAGTTGTATCGGATGCAACTAGAGGGCCTTGACATTCCCCCGGGGGAGCTATAAATGGAGAGTGAGAGTGCTAGCTCAATCGGAGATCCGTAAAATTATTTATGCACATAAATCGAAATTTGAGCCACTTATGAAGAAATGTAAAGACGGTGTTTCAGTTAGTCTTCTCGTTAATGGTTGGGTCTATGCAACTTTCTTCAAAGTGAATCTCAAGACGAGGTCAGACAAAACATGCCGAAAGGTTTGCTTCCCATGTAACGAGCTATTCCAACCGCTGGCGATAGGAATTGTGAGATACATTACAACAGTCTCCTCCAAAGTGCTTATAAATGAAAGAAGTATGGCAAAAACGAACACCTTAAGCCAACTGACCACCTTCCGGAGAGGCTCTGAATTCAAGGGGATACAGTTGAGGATCGTGCCACAACACAAAATATAGGGATACTCAATGAATTGCACCGCACTTGAGGGTTTGTGTCGTTAAAGTAAAGATAAAATCTTGTTCAGGGAACACAATGGGTACCATATTCGAACAGTGGAGTTCAGAAAGGGTCTACAGTTTGGTTGGGGTCTCCAAGCTAGAACGGGTTGGTTGAGACTTAAACAAGTGTTTCCGTGGTCGATAACTGAAACCGTTACATTGATCAATGCGCTTAAACAAATGGTCGACAATAATGATACGGATCATCAATGATCACTGTAATGTTGTGGCTGTACGTTCTATGGTTCTGGTAGCCGACTCAAAAGGAGGATTTTTTATTGAAACTAAGTTAGCCACACCACTTCCGTTCTCATCATTCCAAACCAATACGACCGCATAAGTTGGCCTCTTCTGTCGGTGCACTCGAGCAAGGGGCACACTGTGGATATTACTGAATACTAGCAGACATAGTCAGTTAATTGATAACAGGGATAACGATATACCAAGGTTTATGGTAGCATTAAGCTCTCTGGCTAGGTAGCGGCAGCTCTACCTTTGTTCTGTTGTAGTTGTAGCCGCAGACATGACGCGACGCCTGTGTCCGCAAGAGGACAAGAAGTTGAACGGTCATTGGTGCACCCGGAACCACAAACCTGCCTTATGCCGCATAGATATCTGATAGCTTAGGGTCGATGGCATGCAGGTGATGGCTAGGATGGTGAAAAACAAATCGGGGGAAGATAAAAACCGGTTTCGAATATTGTACCCTCTCTTACTACTTCCTTAAAAGCAGTAGTTACGCAAGCTCATGCACAAAAATGTAACGCGGCTGGCAGTTTGGTGGTAGTTTTGGATATGGGACAATGACACGGTCTGGAATTGCCAAAACATCGTGAAATGCAGGTTGGACTGCGCGCTGAAAGAAAATGATAACATCTCTGACATGCATCTGGTTCAGTTTCGTTAGTTGAACACCAGACTATTAGGCCTCCGGTTCAGTTGACAAGATTACCATGTTTCTCGGTGTCACAAAGAGAAAGCCCCCAAGAAGAGATAGTGGTTCTAACGCAGAAACGTAGCGCAGTTGAGTTTGAAAAACGGTTACAACAGTATGACTAACAAAAGGTATGGTTAGAAGGAAAAGCACTTGCAAACAAACCTACTATTGGAGAGAATATGGGGACGCACAACCACAGCATTTGAGCCTCCGATAATTTTCGACATTCCTCCTTCAGAAAGTATTCCTGTATCATCACGGTTCAATGCCAGGTTGCCAAAAAGAACGTAAGCAGACAATCAGCACACGGAGCATGTCAGTGACGAGGATGCAGGTCTACTGGCTTCACTATAACCCGACTGACGCTTCACAGCTGGCAATGACAGACTATGTAGGTAACAGAGCCAGATGCTTGTGGGATAAAGGACTAGTATCGCAAATATGTATCGCGGATTCACGAAGCTTTGTCAGTTGGTGCATGCCAGGCATCTCACATGATATGCAAACACTGCTTTTAGGTGCGGTTAAATATCGTACGACAAGGCGCTTATTTGAAGGGTGAAGGAACATTATCCGGCCTGGATCGGAACTGGAGAGTAACAAGTGACAGGCTCTCACATTGGCACGCACCTGGTGGACACGGGTCATACCACCAAATCGACTGATTCGTTCAAAATAAGTTAGCAATCCCCGGAAACTCGATCAAATTAGGGCCGTAAGCAGATATGAGACGCCATAGAAGACATCGCAATTGGACTGTAGGAACCACGTCTGTGCATGCATAAAATGTTCACTCTGGCGTTGAGTCTACCTGAACGGATGGCAGTTGATCCGTGCTGGAGTATGGAGTCTGCAGTGTGGGCTTGACCGACGATGTTAGTTATCGTGCGTTAGAATCAAAAGGCTGGTTGACGACCCGTTGGGTATTTTTTACAGATTTTGATTTTCATCTAACTGTATCAGCCTGATGATAAATCATCGAAAACATATTTTTACTTACAAAGACTTCTGATTAATTAATGGGTTTTTCAACTTCATTATCCATGTGTAACACGACTTCTTAAGTGAATTGATGTCTTCTTGAAAGAACAACACTGTGCTCTGTTGTTCATCTCGATGAAAACTCTAAACGATCCTAATCTTCTCGGCAAATAAGGTGATCTACTATGCTCGATGGGTATGCTAGTGTAGTTGAATTAGAGTGGGAGACCCGAGGGCCGAGTACGCCTCCTTGGATTACACCACTGGTGAGTGTATTTGGGGGGTGGCGTAGCGGTCACTCAGAGTGACTACCTGGGAACGCCCACTTAGGTAGGAGGTCAACCAACCCCGTGTCCGCTTGTGAAGCACATGGTCGAATGTGCTTTGCACAACTAATAAACGTAGTAATAATAATAACAACAATAATAACAATGTGTCAGCTGTACGCCGTAACGGCGCTTCGCTGTCGCGCAAGCACCACCAGTCGCGCGCGGGCTGAGTATACCGCGAGGACGCCCTCCCCGACGCGGACTCGAACCGGTGGCCCTGAGGTTGCAAACCAACAGCGTAGACCACTCGTCCACCGGCCGGGTCATTAAACTCTGTGAGATAATCCAAGTATTGCAACTAACAAATCGTACAGGAACGTTTGTCCAGTAATCCACTCTGGGATTTGTGAAGCAGTCCAAAACGGCAGATAAAACTCATCATTCCAGTTGTAAGCAATTTTTCCAGCGGTCAGGCAATTATGGGTGTAATCGACGTTCTGTTTGAAGCCCTCTTTATGACGGGGGATAAGAAATGATGTTTTCAAATAATCCAGAAAATGCCTAGGTTCTAGCAAGAAGGTGAACATATTCAGTAAATGCAGTGGTAGGGCAAGTTCCCCGACTTCAAGTGTAAATTGAGAAATGCCATTGGAATCCAGTTTGAGCTATAGTTTGATGGACTACCTAGCGTGTTTTACGTCCGAAACAAAAACTCGACATTGTATAGGACACTTGTTGTTGTATCTTTGTGACCGAATTTCGGGATAACAAACAGTCGGATAAGAAGCGGATGGGTCGGAGGTGATGTCACTTTTTCGATCAAGCTGAGAAAGCAACCAATGAAAAAATATGACGTATTTTGCTAGGTGCCATTAATAACCGAGTCTTCTAAAATCGAAGCGTGATACGGACCAAGTAGCGGGTTTATTGCATCGGAAGTAGAAACATTTCATAGACTTGAGTGACAGCGATGCATCATGTGTATTTCACTACAACTGGTCAGGCAAGCAGAGAACTCACTGTTTGCAAGGTGTGTTCGGTCGTGGTAGTTGCGTGGTGATCGACTGAGAAGGCTAATTTAATCCCCCAACTAGATGTATAGACGATGGGGTAGAAATGTCGGATCAAAACATTGGTGAGTTAGAAACTTTGCATAGTAACTTACCCAAGACGCGAATGTTAAACGGAACAGAGGTGAAGCCGCTCTCGTTTCCGATTTCCAAACTGTACTCACCGCCCATATCACGAGTAAGATCTACAATAGAGACAAGCACATTGGAAATACATTAAACATGTAGATCAGTTTATCATTCTAAACGAAAAACGTGACCAAAAGATCAGTAATAAGTGAAAATTTATCGCGACATATGTAAATACATGTAGACGTCAGTATAATAATCTCTCAGTAGTATACGAGTGAAGAAATCATTCCCCCGCAGCTCTCGTCTACTTCGTTTACCAGCATACAGAAGCAGGTGAATTAATTCCCGATTAGTTGTAACCACCGTGTTCCTCTGGAAAATTGAACCGATGGCTCAGCAAGATTTAGGCAAGTTACGAGTGGGGATAGGATGGGATTGCATGGATAATACAACCCATACGGGAAAGTGTGAATTGACAACGCATTACATGGTAGATAATGAACTCCAACCAACCTACAAAGAATTTGAGGCGCACAACAAAGGCCAGGTAGATGTTGATTAAATGATCCAATTTCAACGATACCGACGACGATTCTCCTCATAATAAAAGAATTATAGAAAGTCCAAAACTAACTTAAAAACTTGAAGCGTACCTTTCAGTTGTACAGAGGCCATCCCATCCAAGTCCATTAGTTTCACCCTTGGAGACTCTGGCACTTCTCGACCATCCCGTTTCAGTTTCAAACTGATGTTACCGCGACCGGAGTAGGGCACCTTGAACTTTATCAAATCACCCTCTGCTGCTACTTTGTCATCCACCCCTGATAGTGCCCGCGGTGCACCTGGTCCGATGGAAGAAGAGAAATAGCTTACAAAACGGTGCAAATTACTGCAGTGGGGAAAGCAAAACGCTCTGTGAGAGAATAGGAACATTTCATACATTCACGTGTAGGCACTCAACCAGTAGGGCAGTTATATAGGCCCACTGGCAATTAGGTTGAGACAATCAAATTTACAGGTCTGGTAGTGACAAGGTTCATCTCATCAACACATAGTTGACTTCGACAACTATTAATGTGACCTATGCGAGTGTCAAATGTACACGCAAAACCGTATGAGTTAAAATCGATTTTCTAAAGTGAACGCTGCATTTCTGGACCGTGGGGCTTCGAACTTTCCCGGCTATCGGATAAGTTTAATAGACAAGCTAGGTCCTATACTAACCGGATAGAAGTCACCGGAAGAAGTCAAGTATCGAAAAAGTTCGGGAACACAGAATACATACTAAGCCTGAATCTTTGTGACCAGCTCCTTTCGCGAGGAACGCTCTCAAAGAACACGTTAAAATCAACATTAATTGTAGGAACAACGGTGCACACACGGGAGGTGTCCAGGCGGAAGACGCAACAGAGTTGTACCTACTTTCGGTAACAAACTGTCTGAACGGTGTAAAACAGAAAGTAAACTGTTATTCCATACGAACAGCTTTACAACTTTGGAGACATCTCTTTTGATGAGCTTCAGAAGCATATTTTTGATTAACGCAAGAAATATGGGCTTCCAGAATTTAATGTAGACATCATAAAAGTCTACATCAGCGCTTGGTACCGGATTTAAACCAATGTTTCAAAAATAGGCTATAATGTGCTTGCACTCACCTAGCACTTCCAACGGAGCTGAACAAGAATTCTTTCCCGATGGATTGGACGCCTGGCATGTGATTGTACCACCATCTCTGTCATCCAGATCGGATAATTCCAGGACGGCTTTCCCATCTGGTCCGGGAGGTTGGATACGCACTCTTGATCCGGGCATCAACTCCACCCCATCACGAAACCAGCGGACGGTGGGCATCGGCTTTCCGTCCACCTGCACCTCGAACACTGCAACACCTCCAACCGGTGCTGTCGTCTGTCTGATTTTGGATACAAAGTCCGGTGTCTCGGTGGCTAAAATAAAACCCAATTTGGAGTGTTCCTAGTAGGTCACATCAATCTACATAAAATCAAACAAAACCTATAGAAAATAATTATGAATTATGGCTCTCCAGAACTGAGCCTCTCATAATGATGGAAAACTGATGTAAACTCTATCCTTGGTGCTGTTACGTGCTTGTAGGGCACACAAGTTAGAAGCCAATGGAACGGAATGAGCCGGGGTTGTTTGCTTACCTAAACGTAAGGCATAGACTTGTTTTATCCTCACCAGGTTTCTCAACTGCATCCTGACTATGTGACCCGGCATTATATCGGCAACCAACTAAACTGCAATCATTAGGCTCAGCTGCCAATTAAGTTAGGTTCGTAGAAAGTAGAAGTCACGAGTAAACTATGCACAATAATCTGCCTCGAAGGGGATCGAACCCCGGTCCCACGAATTTCCGGTCCGCTGCTCTACCACTGAGCTACCGAGGGCTGACGATTTGATGCGCAATTTAATACATGACTTCCGCTTGGTGCGCAACGTATTGTCAATGAGCTCACAGTAACTGTCCTGGTGTTGCAGATTGACTCGCCACTTCCCAAGGGACCGAAGTAACTGTCCTCCTGAAGTCCAAAGAGCAATGGTAGATTACTTGAAAGGTTTTTGTGAGTAGCGTAAGGTTCGTAGAAAGTAGAAGTCACGATTAAACTCCACACGAAAATCTGCCTCGACGGGGAATCGAACCCCGGTCCCACGAATTTCCGGTCCGCTGCTCTACCAATTGAGTTAGTTTCTCAGGCACAAAAACTACCTGAGCTGAAGCCACACATTCACTCAGGCTCATTAAATGATATCCCCTCTAAAAGCTTGTAGCAGAGCCAAACAGTATGTTAAGCTAGCAAACCATAGAGATGGACTTGGTGGATTCTGAGGGTATGGTTTGCTTCCAGATGAGTGACCAGCTAACATCTGCCAAACAGCATGTCGCAGAATCAGTTAGCGCTGTTCAAATGGCCCATCCAAGTGCTATCCTACTGCTTCTGCTGTTGTACAACTTAGCTTTCGAAGGTGCGTACGCAATGTTAAACCCTAGTTGGATATAAACTGGCGTGGAGGTTCACAACTAATGACGATGTTCGCTGCATCATGAACAAGCTGGTGTTGTCCTGTGGTACCTAGCTCATACGAAAAAGCAGCAGATCCATTTAAGTAGATGACTGCAACGAACGCGTCTATCCTTGTGCTGCAGTAGCGATCAATCTATTTGATCTATCACCTGCGAATAAACAACATACAAATGATGCAAAGCATCCGAATGGAAGACTACCGCCAGGATTGCTTGGCTTTTCTGACGATCACCGTAAGTAGCATGACGGCAAACAATGTGCGAATCGGCAAGTCAGAACAGATTGTACTGATCGAAGTTGAGGGTCATTTTGTAGTGCACGTTGTGTGGATGGATTGCGACGCGCAATCTCAATGTTGACCGCGATTCCCATTGAAGTGAAACTTGGTCTATCGATCACGAGAACCGTAGCTGATGCAAATAGAATTTGGGTGTTGCCCGCCCGAAAACACTGCACTAATAGCACGCGTTTCGATGTTATTACATCTCATCAGATAGAGATAGCAGTCATCGAACCCGGGACTACCGGCATGTTAGTTGTGACCGCTATCCCTAAGCCACCGGGACACGACGGGCAACGTTTGGCACAACGGTCTAATGAACGATGTTGAGGGTCATGAGTGAAGTACACGTTGTGTGGATGGATTGTGACGCACAATCTCAACGTTGACCGCGATTCCCATTGAAGTGAACCTTGGCCATTCGATCACTAGGACCGTAGCTGATGAAGCAGCAGCGAATTGAGTGTTGCCCGCCTGAAACCACTGCACTCCATGACGCGTTTCGAGGTTATTTCCTCTCATCAGATAGAGATAGCAGGCATAGAACCCGGGACCATTGAGATGTTAGTTGTGACCGCCACCCGTAAGCCACCGGGTCACGACGGGCAAAGCTTGGCACAACGGTCTAATGAACGATGTTGAGGGTCATGAGTGAAGTACACGTTGTGTGGATGGATTGTGACGCACAATCTCAACGTTGACCGCGATTCCCATTGAAGTGAATTTTCATCTTTCAATCACAACTAACACCCTAACGGTCCGGGTTCGATGCCTGCTAACTCTATCTGATGAGATGTAATAACATCGAAACGCGTCATAGTAGTGCGATTTTTTCTGGTGGACAACGCCCAATTTCTATTTGCATCATGTGCTGACGTTTGTCGAATTTAAGCCCTGTCAGCTAGTCGTAACATACCTGGAAAAGCACCGGACGGTCACGTAGTAGCGATAAGGACGCGGGAGGGGCGCAGAGCATGTAACGTCACAACAATGAACAAACTGACCACTCGCAAACCCGTACAGATATGGACCGTGTTTCCTTCCCACAACGCAACGCGGAGGAGGATTTGAAAGACGGGCCATTCCATGTGCCTTCCGAGCTTGAGCTTCGGAACAATCCCTCCATGTTTGCATCCCGTATCTCCACCTCTCCATATCCGATTCTGGCTGGCTAGAGGTTGTTCGAACACTCGTGATTTTCTTTTCCGGTGGCTGCATCACTCTACCAGCGTTCAGTCCTGTGGGCTCCGCTAGCGGCGTATTTGTCTGATTCACTACGCTCTCGACAAATAAATATTTTCTCCGTTGTTCTGAGCTCAGATCCGTTACCAGACGTTGCTGGTGATCCGCTCTCAGCGCGATCCGCAAAAGTCGTACTGCCTTGTCTCATCTATTGCCCCCGCTGGCAATTCCATACCAGCCTTTTCTGTTTTCTTTCCGGTTCCCCAGTAGTTGTTGGCTTCCATCTCCCTAGAATGTGATTCCAGGATAGGCTTGCTACCTTGGAATACAAAAACCACACGACAGCTTTCCAATACCATTTCTGATGCTTTGTGATCATTATACTGAGATCGGTTTCACCTGCTGTCCCGAAACTACTTCAATGTTCCCTACAATCTGCTAGCTCAGAGAAAAACAAGACACGAATCGATAGGCGTATTACGAGCCAGTAACAAAAAAGCAGTGTCTCCTTCGGCCTGTCAGTAAAGGACACCCAAACGAATAGACTCGGTAGGGTTTTTGAAACACCGCTTACCAAGTGTTCGAAGATTTATAAGGATCGGAAATTTTGAGATGCTGTAAAAAATGAGTGTTGGCCGAACCCAAATTGTACTCCCTTGTGCATATTCCATTCCGTCACTAAACAGGCCTCAAAAGCACAAAATGATCCGTAATCAATGGTACAGAAGTTTACATGAGCACCTACGCATAATGAGTGTTCCCTGCGGCTCCCGCCGTACAAATAGTTTATTGGTGCATTTCGGGGAGCTAGCAAACATTACTACATGCCAGCCACGTATTCCAGGTGTGCGTTACCTCTACTCTGGATTGAGGGGGTCAACAAATTCCCAGTAAGTCATCATGCTCGCCACCCTGAATTGAGTGCTGCGCCTTGATTAATAATGTCAGGAAAGGCTTATTAAACGCGACTAAGTCTGCTGTTACCAAGTCCCTCAGTGTTCAGTTTCGTGGCGGTCATGCCCACTAGCAAACAGGAAGCCAAGCAAATGCCATCCAACGGGTTGACGACAATTAGCCTACATGCCGCAAAGATGAGCTACCAATCCGGAAAAGCATCAGAGGATCGTCTCGCCTTATTAGGGCTTGGTAATGGCGCGCATTCCGACTGCCCCCTTCTGGGAATCGAACTCATGACCGTTAGCGGCTTGCACCACTAACCAATAGCTTATGCCACCGAGCCATGGGGGACGATAGCCGACAATCACAGATTTAAATCTAACTGTGATATAGACTGACCCATCCCAATGAATGAGTCGGGCGAACAAGCCAAGGTTGGGATGAAGCACAGTGAACAAAGTGCGCCTTTTCTCAAGGACAAGGCAAGCGATCTGCATAAGCGCAGCAGGGACCATAAGCTGATGGCGTACAACGCGATGCTGTCTGATCGATCGGGCAAGCAGAAAGAACATGTGACCAACGGGCGGAAGTGAGTCAGTCGCCATCGGTGCATGCTGACCACAAGTGGAGTGGAAGGATCGAAAATTAAGCATTATTTGAGTAATGTGAACAAACACCGCTTGTTAAGATGGTTAGAAAACTACGGCTTGGTTTTGAAATACTCTCTGTGAGATCGTCTGCTGGTAACAGACAGAACTGGTTCATCTTACCTTTGCGATCCTCCACTTTAACCATTGGCGTCGGAGTGCTTGGTTCTCCTGGACCAGCTGCATTAATTGCTCGTACACGAAATTGAACATCATCGCCTTCATTTAACCCGTCAACATGGAAATACTGGCTCGTTATTGGTTCGGATACCGGATTGACGGGAGTCCAGTCGGGTGAATCTTTTTTGCGCATTTCAACTTGGTATCCGAGTATGCGAGCCCCACCGTCTTTGGTCGGTCTCGTCCAAGACAAGTCTACATGATTCTTGCCAACACCGTCCACGTTCAAATTGTCCGGACTGTCAGCTGTGACTGAAAATGCAACAAGATTGACGAGCCACTATCAGATGATAAGCATATTTTCGATAAGAGGTTGTTCTGCAAGAGAAACATTTACAACACCAGGTACAAGTTCGGTCTGTGTGTAAGAAGTCCTTGTTCTGCTGGTGGTAACCAAGTAAGTGTTTCGTTTACATAGGAACTGAAGTAAAGAAATAAAAGGAAAAACCCCATAACTCATGTGTATAACATGCTAAGACCTTTTAACCCGCCAGCTGTACAGAAAACAATCAACAGATTCTGTTAAACAGCTTCGGAGGAAGAACTGGTTGCATGGTACCCGAAACAGCATGGTAATACAGCCGAATCCATAGGCTCATCGCAACTTTGCAGCTAGGTCGACTGCAGGACATGTATTAATCGTTTGGCCTCAGACCCCGTAACAATGACCTACAAGTGTCCATGACAGGGTGCGGCATAAAGTTGAACCTGTCTGAGATCGGTACATCTCACAAAACACGCGCCAGCAAGCTAGTCCGGTCATAAGAGGTTAGCAAGCCTCCCTCACAACACACAAGTTAGTGGACCAAGCTTCCCTTTGCAGCTCGGAAGAACTGATACTATCCAACTTTCGTTGTGTTCGTCAGACAACAATCGTTCGCTTGCGCAGTGCATGGCGCGCGTTAGGCCAAATGACTAGCCATAATCAAGTATGATTGACCTGTGTACAAGAAAGCTTGTAAAATTTTGGTACTCGCGAAGCCTCCTTCAAAATGCAGGGTACAATTTCTGACATCAGCTAATGCACCAGCAGTTACCATGATTTTTGTAGTCACTCGAAATAATCGAAGGATTCACGTATCTTGATTCGCGTTATAGGGATAGCAAGCAAGATGCCCAATAGGTTACTGCAAGCAGTGCTATAGGGTATGATGTACTATTTCAAAGCCTCAACCATCTTTAAGGTCTTCCAGCTACCAGCTCACTGGTCAAGGAAATGTGAGGCACATTGCGAAACTGTCAGCTCTAATATTTCAAATAAGAATTTCGCTTCAAGGATCTGCTAGATATTAAACACTGATACCCTTGGAACATTCCTCAACCAAATGGGTCTGTTCCGCAGTTATCGTTGATTGAAATACGTGCGTCTGTAACTGACAATCAATCAGGAAGCCCTAGTCACACAGCGAAAATTCGGACCAAAGTGGTACCAGCTAGGTGACTTCTCGTGAGCAAATCTAGAAAGAAGTCAACTGACCAGATGAGGAATGCTATGTGCGGTTAATCGCCAGCTACATCGTACGCCGGCATGATGTGTTTGCGTGACTGACTCGCAATACTTTACAAGTTGCCGTTAGTTTCATTCTTTCCAGTTGCGTTTCTTGCAGACCTCATGGGGGGCCGTTTTCAGTGCAATATGGCCCTCATGAATCAACGCATTGCTCGGTTAGGTTTTTAGAGCGCTCCCTGAATTGTCCTACATCGCCCGGCTTACAAGTCTGTTTCCGCTTATCATTTTCAAAGCCCACGAATGGCGTGGACATCAGGTAATGTGATGTGCTATGTGAAACTGACGGTGTTGGAACTGAGGAGCTCTATGAACCATTTGTCGCTTCTGTTGGGCCGTAAGCTTTGACAACTGATGTGGGCTGGATATCTGGCTGCGCTTGAAACGATGCCACTGGTCGGAGTACTCGGTCCAAAAGACTGTCAGCCGTTACTGAGAAGATGAGATACACGGTTTGCTTGGCGGTTCCAGGCTTAAGAATTGGTCCAGTCACAGAACGAGCTACAGTCTAGCCATCATCCATACGGCACCACTGATGTGCGTGCTGACGGAGAATGTACTGGCTCTAGATCGATCGTATTCATTCAGATTTAAGCTGGCGTGCGTATGGGGCTATGATTGGTGCAGCACAAATCACCCATACCCCTCTGTAGTTGAAAGCATCTAGTAGAAAACGCAGTGACAGGAAAAGCAGGGAGTCTCTACCAAAAGCTATGGGCCCAAAAGAGAAGTGCAGCTGGTTGAATAGAAGTTTTACTGTTGCATAGTGCTATTGTTAAGATATTTTGATCCATCACGCATCGATACTCCAGGTATAGTTGGCCGATTGGACTCATTCGCCCTCATTCAGCGTAAATTAACCCTGCTTGTAGGTCGCACGATCGAACTGAAACGAGACTGTGTCAGAGAAAACTCACCGTATTTGGGCCTGCACTCGACGGGACGTGTTGCTCGGCTCGGTTCTCCCAGGCCAGCATCATTCTTGGCGGAAACACGGAACATATATTTTTCTCCTGGTTTCAAGCCAGTCACTGTAAAGCAAAACAATCAGAAATCAGGTGAATAACCGTGAAACCATCATTATTACCATCAATACACGATAGCTGGGGGTGGAAGATACACCTAAGCTAATGTGCCGCGATAAAAAATAACATATAAAACATCATAGAATACAAAACTAAAACAGTAATATAATGTTAAATATTACGCATCAGGTGTGAGATCGTGCTTGGAGGAAACCGGGAAACCACAGCAGTAACAAAACGATTTTCACTGAGAGCTTAAAATGCTAAGTAGTCATGATGAAAGCGTGGTAAAAGCCGTTGGGTCGCAAAGAAAATCGTGTGGACACGCGGTTCCATGCTCAAGGCAAGAGTGCATTCAGCTGTCAGTGATGAGTGTTCCGAATTTCTTTTTACCACTGTGTGTATCTCAGAGCTGGGATCAACCCAGACTGGGCATCAAGTAACCTATGTCTTGGAGGATATCCTATTAAGCAAATTATATATTTGTTATTCAAGGAGGGAAAAACAATGTAATTGGCCGTCGAACTGTTTATTTCACGGAGCAGCACGTTCGATGGGGTGGGGGATTTAGAAGAATTCTCAAGTTTGATGTTCTTTTTTCCAGTTTTTGTGAACAACGCATGAACCACTGGATGTACTTCACAAGGTGTCTGCTAGTTGAGGGGTAATAATCGAAAGAACTAACACCAGATCCAATACTGTGTTAATAACTAGGCATTTTACAACAGAACGGAAAAGTGGCTTCCCTCTAGAGATGCACGGCATGGGGATCTTAAACTCTAACCGTTGTGAAATTGGCCCCTTAGAATTAGAGGATTAACTCTGTAAAGATGACCCAATAAAACACACTACATTGGTGACGTGCATGGTGCTCATACAAATAATTTGAACAACATCCACAAATAAATACGCCGCTATAACACTGTAAGACGGGTGACCTTGTTGACCTTGGGGCGGATAAATAGAAAAGACAGGAACATGGTGGTAGCGTAAATATACATTATCAGACAACTAAAAGAGTTAAGTATACTGATGACTGCATTTGGTGTGTCCAATGCCAGTGTCTCTTCCATTCGTGTTTGATCAGCATCCACCTTATCCCCAAGATGAAGCCTACTCGACCCAATTAGATGATGCCGTCAAGCTCATTAGTGTATCAAGTGACTTGGTCTTCTAAAGTAGACACACGACTATGACATACGAGGCACAAAAACTGCTATAGTGATTGGAAGGTGGGATAAAGAGAGCGCAGTGGCCAACGCTGTGGTGACGACGGTGAGGCCACTTTGGTGCCGATGCGCACGACCATGTAATGCAACGCACGATTTACCCGTTGCACTGGTTCCCTTCACTGGTCCGGTTTGAGCCTTCGTCCAGTCGCCGCCCACTGCGGGTTTCACCTCAACGACGTAGCTATTGACGCGGCTGCCACCATCGTTCTTGGGTTTTGTCCACTCCAAAGTCACGGTATCGGCGTCAACGTCAGCCACCTCGGGGACACCTGGTGGCTCTGGTGCAGCTGTAAGGAAGTGGAAACGAAATAAAGAACATATCGTTTGCCATACAAATATTTGGACGTAGGAATATGGTAGGCACATTGTTTACAACTGAACTGGTGCATATGCGTTACAAAGTGCAAAGGGAGCGTGTACTTGGGACCGGAGTGAAGGGTTAGTAATTGCATCAGTTGGATTATAGACAAACAGTTCGTAGATTCTGGGCAGTAGTTACTACACTTAAGCTCAACTATTTAGCCGCAACACGTCCTAAGAGGCGCTGAATCGCCGTGTTGATTTACCAGGACCAATCAACATTTCACATCTCCAGCGAATCCAGATTTCGCTGAGAACGATACGCCTCACATCACCCACTATCATAAAACTTGATGTCATGTAGACTACAGGGTTGGCTCGGAAATGATGACCTGTCTCAACAAACTACCGGTTCTGTTGCGATGTAAGCCAGCGCGGTCAACAACGTTAGAACTTGGGTTTAGGTGGCCCAGAAAGCAGCTATCAGGGGTCCACAAATTGATGTAGTATTTGTTCTCAGAACTACGGTTTCATCATAAGAGCTGGTTGAAAGGAATTGGACTGACAGACTATCCGGAAGAAATTAAGAATTTCCCGGAAAATCTATTATTTCAGCGATAATCGCTTGTTGACGATTAGCGCATCGATTTCAAATGTACTAATGTTCTAAAGCCCGTATGTGACTAACAATATTTCTGGCAAGGGAAGACCTGACCTTGACGGCCAACCATTGTCCTCTGCACGGGCAATAGCCTGCGCGGCAGTGAAGGATGGGTCGGGCTACATCGTAGTTAGGTTTCAGTTCATAATGGTCGGCTGTCGTCCCCCATGGCTCAGTGGCATAAGCTGCTGGCTAGTTGCCGTTAGACTCTAGCGGTTGTGGGTTCGATCCCTACTAGGGGGCCGATGGATGCGCACCACTGACGAGCCCCATTAGGGCCAAACCCGCGTCTGGTGCTTTTCCGGACTAGTAGCTTACCTATGCGGCTTGGAAACTAATTGCGATGAACCAAATCGAACCTTCCTGAAGATCGGGCGAATCTATGGGAAATAACTAACCTTAGTATCTGACCTTCTAATTCCAGAAGATGAAGAGCATGAGGCGACCTATATATAGGACCATGGTCTGCCACCTTTGTACAGCTCATGTCTGACTGTGGTTAACACGTTAGTTTGGGAAAGGTCGTACTGCCTTTTTTGTTTGGGTTTGTGGTTGTGCGGATTAGATTAAATGCAAGTTTCGGAATTGCAGCAAGTGAAGATTTAACGAATGGCGAAGGAGAACCTGGAAATGTGAATTTTGCCGTTGAACATGTTCGAAAGCTGCTTTTGCAATAACAATCCCAATGAAACCTCGACTGAAACTGACTGAAAATTTGACGAATTGCCTGAGTTTGCAGTTTGCAGGAGCAGCAGGGGACACGTAGGCGAATTCTGTTGATCTTCTCATTAATGCGATCAGTGAATTTAATTATGATGCAGATTCCGGTTGCACTTTTGAAGATTGGTTCAAACGCTGAAAAGATATGTTCCGGATGAACGTCAGTCGTCAGGACGATTCCTGGAAAGTGCGCTTGTTACTTTGCAAGCTAGGTAGGAGCGAATATTCTAGATTCACGGACTATATACTGCCCAAACAACTAAAGGACCTGAGTTTCGGCGAAGCGATGTCATAGCTCAGTGAAATATTTAGTGAGTCAGCTTCTCTGTTCAGCATTCGTCATCAATGCTTAAAGAGTATTACACGGGAACAGGAGGAGTATGGGGCGCTAGCTAACCTTGTGAACCGCTAGTGTGAGCGTTTCAGGCTAGAATCTTTGAGGGACGACCAATGTGTCTCATTTTCGCCAGTGCTCTTCAGTCCCCTTGTGATGTTGAGATTCGTACGAGGCTTCTTGCTAAGCTTGATCAAGACTCAGATTTGACACTAAAGACTCTTGTTGGCGAATGCAAGCGATTGCTCACTTTGAAACACGACACCGCTCTGATCGAACAGTGTCGCAGTGTACCATCCAAAGGCTGTTCACACTGTGGGAAATGCTTGGAATTCTAGCCGAAGCAAACTGTTCAAAAGTGACCCGAACAAGCCGTCTACTGTCTGCTGGTAATGCGGCCAGTAGCATTTTGCACGTTTCTGCCTTTTCAAACGTCACATGTGCGTAAAGCACCTTAGGTGTGGCCATAAGGAATAATTCCGTAGCCACACCCGGTCGAAGAACACGAAGAAATTCCACATTTCGAAGAACTTTCAAAAGCATGGTGCAGAACCGCTTTCAGTAATTGACGCATTTCAATGTGAACCAAAGCCACGACGACGATTCATCATCTTGTCAATCAACGGTATCCAAACGAAGCTGCAATTTGACACATCCTCAGACGTCACAATCATTTGCAAGAACACGTGGAATTACCTAAAGAAGCCAACAATGATCAAGTTTCACAGAATAGACCACAACGTATCCCGTGTGCTCAGCCTAATCGCAAAAATTACTTGCACAATGGAATTCAACGGTGTGGAAGAAATAGGGACGGTTTACATGTCAGATAGACCCAACTTGAACCTTCTTGGGCTAGACTGGATTGAAAAGCTGCGACTGCTCGATGTTCCATTGAATCGGATTTGCAAAATTTGAGCGAATCCAGACGTATCAACGAAATCGGTCGAAGAGACGACACAGCTGCTGAAACAAAAATTTGGTCTCGTGTTTCAAGATGGCCTAAGCCATTGCACCAAATTCACAGCGACGCAGTCCATACTACCGGGAGTCAAGCCAGTCTTTAAAGCTAAAGGTCCAGTCCCCGTATTCAACGATGCCAATTGTTGAGCAAGAGATGGAGCGACTATAAAGAACTGACGTCACCACATCTGTAAACTATGCCTCATGGGCCGCACCCATTAACGTAGTAAAGAAAGCGAATGACAAAGTACGCGTCTGAGCAGATTCCACAACTGGTCTTAACGCTGCTCTCAACCACCACCATTGCCATTACCAGAAGAAATCTTTGCCAAGCTTGACTTGTCTGATGCGTACCTTCAGGTAGACGTTGCCGAAGAATAGAAAGAGCTATTGACGACCAACCCCCACCGTCGGCTGCACCAGTACAGCCGTCTGCTTTTTGGCGTAAAAATGGCCACAGCCATTTTTCAACAGCCGTTGGATACCATGTCGGTAGGAGTTACTGGAGCCGCCCCATACCTGGATGATATTATCGTAATGAGCCGAACGACGGAGGAATTATTCGACTGTTTGGACGAGGTGCTTGGTGATATCCAGTCTTATGGCTTTCGGATTCGTGAAAACAAGTGTACCTTCTTGACTCCGACCATCAAATACCTTGATTTTATCTTAAAAAGAATGGCCGCCGACCAGATCCGACAAACATAGAAGCCGTAAGGAAGATGCTTCCACCAGCAGATATTCAATCGCCACGTTCCTTCTGTGGTCGCATCAGTCACTACAGCGTATTTTTGCCTAAGTTGCATCGCCTGCGTGCTCCGCTGAACAGCCCTTTAACCAAAGACCACTTCTGGAACTGGACGCGAGTGCCAGAGCACCTTTTAACGAATCAAGTCATTAATGGCTTCTGACTTGCTATTGGCTCATTATGACCCAACTCAGAAAATCATTCTCGTAACAGACGCATCAAACCACGGGACCGGAGCAGTTAGTTCACATGTGTACTGCCCCGCCTCATAGACTCCCATCAGCAAGACGAAGAAGACAAGATCATGGCGGCAGTTGAGCCTGAACCGGACGTGATTTCTTGTGAGTGACGCATTACGTGACCTACCAGTGACTGCAGAAGCTGTACGAGCAGAAACGCTTCGTGACCCGGTACTCAAGGTGGTCGCACAATTCGACAAGACTAGTTGGTCACGTACATGTTCGTTAGCCGAATTGCGGCCATACTACCACAGGAGGCGTACAATCTCCATGGTGGAAGGCTGCATATTGTTCTTGGAACGTGTTGTCATCTCACAGGCCCTACAAAGGCTCGTACTCAGGCAGTTCCATGTTGGACATCCTGGTGTCAACCGGATGAAGGCGATAGCTTGAAGCTTTGTGTACTGGCCATTCATGGACAGACAACTGGAAGAAATGACTAAAAGTTGCCACAAGTGCACTACTGCTTTAAGGGCCCCAGTAAATACGGAACTCCATTCATGGCCGAAACAAACGCGACCATGGTGTCGCGTCCACGTCGATTGCGCAGGACCAATAAACGGCCAAGGTTTTCTCATTGCTGTTGACTCTTACAGCTAATGATATGAAGTCTTTCTGATGAACAGCACGTCGACCCAAGCAACCGTCACAAAACTACGATAAATCTTCGCTGGATCCGGTTGTCCAGAAACACTTGTAACTGATAACTGCCTATAGTTCCCCTCAGCACTTTTCACGGAGTTATACGGACAATGCGTCGTCCAGCACATCCCCTCACCGCCGGTTCATCCACAATCGAATGGCTAGGAAGAGAGGTTCGTGGATATTTTCAAGCGAGCTCTCCTCAAAACGAAGGGGAAGGACGTATAGAGACGGTAATTGACCGAGTCCTCTTCCTATACCGATCAACATCAAACCCACAAGTGCCGGGTGGAGTCTCGCCAGAACCGGCCATGATGAACAGAAAGCTGTGTATGTCATTTGATGCCATTCGACCAAGCCCACTGCCGTCTGTTGTGGAAGGAACCGCAAAATTGAACAAGAATTTAACCGGCGGCATGGGGATAAGCAACAATGGTTTATGCTAGGGAAGACAGTGCTAGTGCGGGACTATCGGGCAGGTGGCGCAAGTCGGACACCTGGTACGATCAAAGACAAGCGCGGGAATGTTACTTATGAAGTGATCGAGGGAACGCAGACCTGGATTCACCACATAAACCAGCTACGACCAATGCTGTGCCAACCAGAGGAAGCAAAACCTGCCGAGCTTCCGTTTGACATGTTGGTAGAGAGCTTAAACCTGCCAAAGGAGCCTATGGACGATGGCTGTCAGTCGAGCAACGAAAATGTACGACAAACCATGGGACTAATTTCTCGAGCACTTCAACTGAGGCGATGCACCGACAGAATTCGAACACCGTCCAGGAGAGTACAAGTCAATACCAAGCTTTCTTCCTACACCGCAGAGGGGAGGTATCCGGCAGAAAGTACGAATTTCCCGGAAAATTCATTATTTCAGCGATAATCGATTGTCAACGATTATTGCATCGATTTCGAATGTTCTGGAATGTTCTAAAGCCAGCAGGTGACTAACAACCTTCTTGAAGATCGGGCAAACCTTGGTATCGGGCCTTCTAACTCTAGAAGTCGAAGGTCAGGAGACGGGCTATAAATATGACTATGGTTTGCCACCTATGTACAGCTCCCGTTTGACTGTGGTTAACAAGTTATTTTGGGAAAGGTCGTTCTAACTTTTTTCTTTGTTTGGGTTTGTGTTCGTGTGGAATGGATTCAGTGCAAGTTTTGGAATTGCAACAAATGAGAACATTTAACGCAGACAATCATTTTACTTTAAGGATAGTTAACTCATTACACAGTCTCAGCAGAAATCGAGATGCAAAACACTTACAAGTTGGGTTTTCGGCTATGAACGGTTTCTCAAGCTCCAAGGGTTCACTCAATCCAAAATCGTTGGCTGCTCGAACGCGGAACTTTTGTTTCTTCCCTTCTTCCAGGCCCATCACATCGTACTCAGGAGCACGAACGAATTTAGACACTGGGACCCACTCTCCAGTGTTTGTGTCCTGCCTCTCCACGACGTAGTTTGTAATTGGACTACCTCCAGTGTCCTGAAGTGAAAAGGGACATGCAGTCAAAAATGCCGATAGGAATCTCACCAGTCATTAACGACATAGTAAAGCGAACGAAGCAAGAAATCCCGTTAGAGCATTCCCATCAACGAGGCCCTCATGCGTAAATTCCAACAGAACCAGTCATCTTTATGCTAAAAATGTATGAGTATAGAGAGAACATGAAATCTGGCAACGATTACATTTCGAAGCACCTCGTCAGTGCCGTCGACGATGGCTCGAAACACTCTTCAAGGGACCATAAGTATAGCCGAATATTCAGTAGGGGCAACGCGAAAGGCATGCTACTGCCAAATTTTGCCTTTTTACTCAGCCTTGCAAATAGTCGAGGAAGCTGACTATTTTCAAGTTTGAAATACCTCGGGGAGTTCATATTCACCCAATCGTTCACATCGCTCATCCAGTTTCCTTTGATCCCATACAGATAGTAACCTCGCATAACAAACCAATAGATATTCAACTAGGTTAGTTTCCCGACGTTTATGCTTATTGGATACCAGGTTGTAATTCGCGCTCTTCACCGTGCCACAGCTACCGAGGTGTCGCATCTGCATATTACTTGAATCGCATACTTGTAGTTGCTGATATCCACGCCGGTTAGCCGTATCAGCTATTCGTGGGTCCATTATATGTATTTGCTCAAGTATGGCTATAGAACTAATTTAACCAGCGGAATTTATCTTGTCCACTTCTCTGAAATTTTACTACCCAAAACTTGTATTTCAACTGTTACAACATAGGTCGCCCAACGAGAGGAATAACTCACCGATGGTGGGCGCCAGCTCAAAGTACAAGAATCAGCTCTAATGTTGGAGACTTCGAGCGGCCCTTGTGGTGGTGACGGTGGCCCCATAACGTTGATCTTCAATGGAAGAGTGTCCTCTCCCTTTGCATTTTTCAGTCCAATTTTGTAGTTACCGCTGTCATCTTTCTGGGCTTTTGTGTCCGTGATGATTACCTCGTCTGGTGTTATAACTGTCTGGAAGCGCCCACTGTTCGGATCGATCGGGATGCCATCCTGTAGTGTAAAGAACAAGGTCATGAGGTAATCAAATTGGAGAACACGTGTTCAAGCGGAATAAGGTTATGATTGATATCTAGATTATTCTAATCATCCGCAGAGTTTAGAGAAAATAGGAAACGAATTTCGAAGCACAGATTCGACAAGATATGAAATTTATTCGCCGTACAGTGGAATCTAGCATCATCCTTCCGTACCACCTAGCCTCTAGGACTTGCTTAGGGTGCGTGATACTGGGGAGTTGCCAAAAGCTTCACTTTTGATTAAAAGTGGATGTAATTGTGCTTACAACTACTCTACAGACAAAAAGTCAAAGTTCGTGTGCCGACGAAGCAGGCGAGTAGTGTTCTTTGTACGGAACTGCGAAAATAGAACGGCAACGGTGACGAGAAAGTATCATCTTAAGGACAGCTCGCAGTGCTCTACCGACACCACTACTCAACATTAGTGAAAACGCGGAGCTAGTGAATGATCATTAAAGAGTTGAGTCACAAATTGTATTCACAAATCAATGTGCAATGGATCATTTCTTCAAGTTGCCCGATAGGGAATGCGGTGGTGATGATAGCGAATCTTTAACTCAAGAAATAAACCCTCTACAGCACTCACCTTGGTGATTTGCACCGTGTCTGGAGGACTACCGGTATATGGAATGCGTATCTTGAACGGCTCACCGTCCACAGCGTTAACTTCTCTGGGAGCGTCCCGACCAATCTTCGGGGCGACTAGAATGTAGAGAGCCAACCACAGCACGTTTAGCAGAATGGCCATTTGTAAAATATTACATAATCTAGGAAGATATACAATAATTGTTATTTTGTGACTTGAGAAAACGTCTCACAAACATGTGGTGGACGAAAAGATACCGAGACACTTGTCGGTAAGGGAATATGGCATGATTAATAAGAAGAAGATCGTGTCAGCTGTACGCCGTTACCGGCGCTTCGCTGCCTTGCGACCACCACCAGTCGCGTGTGGGCTGAGCATACCGCGAGGACGAGTGCCCCTACGCGGATTCGAACCGGTGACCTTATGATTGCAAGGCAGGTGTGCAGACCACTCGACCACCAGCTAACCTAAGACATGATTGGTTTTTAACAGTTAGGACAAGGTCACAAAGCTAAGCAGTGGTAGTTGTCTGACCACAGTTAGAAAGTCGCAAGTATACTTAATGCTCTCTAAGAACAATCACGCTAATCATAAATCTTTCGTCTGACGGCAGTAAAGTATGCGCTTAGCTGAAACGGTGTTTAACTCCAAGACGACCTGATTTTGCGGTCTTCGAGAATTCTGTCAAGTGTCCAAAAACTCAGTGGGTTAATAAACCGCATTCGAGCCCAAAAGACATGTGTTACGATTAGCACGTATCAAACACTTGTCAAACTGGTGATACCTGTTGGCTTCTGCACCTTAGTCAGTGGTGTCGGATCGCTCGGTTCACCAGAGCCAGCGGCGTTGACGGGTATCACACGGAACTCGAACTCTTTGCCTTGTGGTAAGCCTTTTACCGTGTACTCAGTCCCAGAGGTGGGGTGTGGATTTACCCTGAAAAGGATGCAAAAATAAGGTAATAATTGTCAGCGATAGTTGTGAAAAATATGCGCAACTTCAAACTCACAGAACTGTGCTACCTCAGTCCAGCAGCGCGTAAGTATCTGCTGCGACCCACTGCGAAAGTATCCTGAACTCTTTATCAGGTAAGATGTGGACATCGCAGACAACTTGGTACCGCCGAATTCGGTCAGTCCTTAAACGAGAACGTGCGTGTGTGTGCCAGAGGTTCCTGTCCGAGTATTAGGTCATACTGCTATACACACTGTGTGGATTACTGAATACTGGCTCCAGGAGAATGATGATTGTTGCGGAGGATGGCAGCGCTCGGCTTAGTTGGCTGTATCACCAAAAAGTATCACTATCAGGTAGCTACTCTACACACGTCTGACACGCACATTAGCTTTCGAGAAATCATGGTCGCCTTAATCTTACCGCCCCCTAAATTCGTGCAGGATACGTTTGGTGTGTCGCTGAAGCTGTGGTTAGTATTGCACAAGCCGCAAACAATAGTGTCCACAGTGTGCCTGGTTCAATTTTTGCTGTGTCCTATAGGTATCGTGGGTTGTAATAGATCCGTGGTGATTCAATACGAAATTAAAACATTGTAGACCGTTGGATGTCCGTACCACAGCCACCTTGTATGAAGTAGAACTAAAGATGACAGCGAAGGAAGGCTGAGGGGAAACAAAAAGACAAGGGCAAGAGGAAACGATAACGATAACCGAAGCGACCCTCCTCGAACTCATATCATTTAGCGTGTTACAGGAAAGCCTTGGGACCTGTTACACGTGGGATGCGGATCCCGCGGTAAAAAACTCCCGGTTCAAACACTAGTCATCTACCCGGTCGAGCGGCGACAATCACATACCGATCGCAAACCGCAAAGCGATCGACTACGACATACCGTGCTCTCCGGCTTGATTGGATCCCCGTCAACAGGGCTGGTTGCGCAGGGAACGAACGACTGAACTCGCAGGCAGAGAGTCCAACAAGTCCCTACGTCCACAGCTATTCACTTGTCCATGGTGCAATCGTCGAGGCTATCGATTCATTAGATATGTAACTGTCGCTTCAAGTCAAGCTGCGGTGAGGTCATACGACCAGCAGTATTAAAGTCCCTGAGACAGCCGCTGTCATTGTGCCTCGCGTAGGCGTCTTCTAGGTATGGTGGAGAGCAAGCGATAGCTTGCACAGTATTTCGCACGTCCCGTAGCGTAGACGGCATCAAGCCTATACGTTGAGCGCACAAGCGAAAACTGCGGATTTCGCACCTTTGTAAACGGGACTCAGTTCATATACGTCCACGCTGGTGCTTTGACCCCGAAATCAGTCAACCCACGTGACAAAACCTCACAGGTGATAGCCAATAACGGTGCTCACAACTGACTAGGGCGTCGATAAGTACTACAGTACCCCCTAAGAAGCTGGACCTGTGTTCAGCACCATGTGTCCTTAATGACAAGCTACTGTCGCGCTTCACAGTGCTGTTGCTTGCTTCCTGACCCCCTGGAACCTTATTTCAGTTACCAACTTCAGATTTATACGCGAAGGCGACTAACGTGCAATAGAAAGTCAGTCGGATACTAATGCGATACTCAAGTTCCCTGGTTCATTTTGTTACATTTTCTACTGCCTAGCCCCACTCGAGCAATGGTAGGATTTCCCCTGTAGCTGGACATAGTATATTCTGTAAGCACCATACGCCAACATTCGCAGTCTTCAGTACAACGGCAGCGAAAGGTTATCAAGGTGAGAGAATTCAACGACAGTCATGCCAGTAACCTCATCGTGCCAGCCTAAAGTTGACGCACTAGTCGGGTATGGAACTTGTTAGGTCAGACCAAAGTCAAATGGGCACAGAAACGAAACAAATTGTCTTGTTCGGGAAGGTAAGTGCGCAATTTCCCCAAGTAACCGTGTGTCTTGTAGCAGAACAGTCTCAGTTACAAACAGACTAGAGTTTTTCTGTGTTGCAGAACATTTGTTACTGCCGCTTGTTTCATACCACTCACACGTCCCGTGATTCTTTGAGATCGATAAACTCAAATTAGCACTCAGCCGTGATGTGAACTGTAATCAGAGTGTTTTCATACCCAAGTCGGCCCGTGCAGTGTTTCGCAAATATACTTCACGTCCGGTGCGTTGTCTTTTGACTCGCGTGGCGCAATCTAAGGAGCTGCTAAGTCGAACCCCTGGGGACACAACAGAACTCAAGGCATAACATCCGTTCATCTGTTAGACCCGAATGAGACGATAGGGTGTATCGTCTGTCAGATCACGGACGACTAAACGCTGGGGGCAGCATCACTATGTTTTTCTAGAAATGTGGATAGATTCAGACAATCTCCCGGTTGTTATGTAGTTCTCTCAGAATTAATGCAGTATAGGCAGTGGTCAAAAAGCGGTTAGTTATAAACACAAGTTTATTTATACTTCGCATACATTTCAATCGTCATTTCACTGCAGCAGCCTTTTATTGGTTTCCAAGTTTTATATCGTCTGTTTAAATTCAATGCTCTGAAATCGCTACGCCCCCCCCCCCGTGTTCCAATCAACCTACGCATTCTCTGTCTGCGGTCGGATTGTGAATCGTTCATGCTAGACCGAACCAACTCAACATTATCCGTCCGGCCCATATGATTATGATCAGCTCACCTGGGCAGCATTTGACTCGCTTTCTGTCCGCTGGCCTGTTATCGGCTCCGTTCACCCGAATTACAAGCCACCACCGTATTATTAAAATTATTCATTATTCTTGGAAAGTAACTAATACATTTCATCCAGAGTTCACGCAGGATACCGCATGTTTGACGTTAGTCCTGTCCTGTTTGAGCGGCGGCGATGGTGGCGGTGGAGGCTGTACGGTGTCAATATACATCAATAGTACAGGAAAAGGAATGTTTCGAAGGCACCAACGTCCAATGGCTGGCGGGCATTAGTTGGCCATACATTTAGTCAGTATACGGGACTTGGTAGAACGATTAACTTGTATCCCTTGTCCTCACCGTCCTTTAAGGTGACTGAGGCTTCGGATAAGCACGTAAACGATAAAGCGCTTACTAAAGTGCTTGTAATCGCCGATCAGGACCAGTGACAATCGGAGATATGTGGACACAGCCCTTGAATCGCGACTATGTAAAAAGACCCATCTAGTACCAGTGATTAGAGACCGCACACTTTCTGGAAATCATCATAGGTGAACTACGTCATACAGCTAGTAAACATCAGGGGGCACAGTTAACGGTCGTGTAGCTTCTTAAGGTTCATCAGTCGAGCGTATTCTTTCGATATCACGCAGGCAACTGTTACAGTTTAGTAGGTACGATAGAAGTATTTGTATGGCAACACGATCATCTTCATTTTGGTAGTCCGTGAGTGGGTTTTGTGCTGTTCTTTTAAAACATACTGTCGCAAACAGGACTGTGTAAGCACTTCGGATCCCCAGTGTAAACTTCAGCATCATCATTATACATGTCAGCTAGAGGTTGGAAACACCTCAGCTACTGTGCCGCAATATTGTGTGGGCAGGATACTGTCAGGTTACCCAGGCCTAGACAGGAGAACGATCAGGGTTCTCAACCAAAGCCTTTGGTTCAGAAACCTGACCGCAAGGCAGCGGGTTTGGCGTTGGGCTACAATGAGTGCGTTTTAAGGAATAAGGTGTAACCACATTTCAACCCCCACGCTGGAGGGCCAGGAGGCTGAGTTTTTCTGGCCTCTAACCATTGGCCAATCTGGTATGAGTGGCTCTGAATGTGTAAAAAGCACCACCCAGCATAGCTCAATGGATCGCTGAGGCACACAAACCATCGCACCACGGTAAGGTCCAGCCTCATTGCGATGGCCCAGTGTAAACGGCTGTCTTCAAGACTGAATTCTGTGTGTCGAGTGTGTGATGAGATTTTGCAAGCAGAAGAACGACACGATTTAGATGGCGACGTAAGCAGCTAGCTTGCCGCAATCGAACAGAACAGTTGATCGGACGTCCACGCATATTTCGTCTACGCGCTGATTGGTTCGCTGGAGCAGGTTTATTTAACTGATTCAACAGAAGAAACTCATGAATACGGCAACGTCGTTAGTTATGGAAATGATTTAGTCATTTACATTGATGTTCCTATATGTTTGTTATGATGTCAATTTCTGAGCTCGCTTTTCCGAATAAACTGTATGTCCTTGAAGGACCGAGTTCTGCGACTGAGTGTAATAAGGCCATAAGGCCACATATGTTTGGTCATTTCTGATGGGCTAATACTCTCATCTTGGAATAGAGAACATCACACTATGTTTCCGAAGGATATGTACATTTAACACTGATTTTATACCGAAATGGTAAAATAACTAATCTGATTTCATGACTATATTGGTTGCTTAACGGCAAACAACCCAACGTAACCGTACGTTTTTTATGTTTCCCAGAAAGGCATGCATACCCTCCGGAGTAGCCGTACTCTCTTTGTTCCCACTTTCACCCGGATTTACTCTCCCAATTCTCGTTGCACTCTGTCATGAATACGTTCATTCGAACCAGGCTGACGAGCACTAGTCTCACTGCTCTATGCCTCTTCGTGCCCAACTGTTTTCGTCTAATTTTACTCCAATTTAAAAGTTTGGTAAACGCACTGCCAAAACCCACTCGCGCAAAATACAAGGGATAAATTTGACACCGGTTTGTCCAAAACCGATTAGGTAGAGTAAGCTGGCTTAACTTCCGTCGCCAATGTCTGTCTAACACGTGCGGAATTAACATTGGTAGTAAAAACTTAATACCGGTCCGGTAGCTGAAATATCGCAACACAACAGAACTCCTCAGACAGGTAGCATGCAGACTGTGTGGTGGCTATACAACGAGTTTAATCCAGGCCGTGGGTTGATGGGTAGACATTTACCTTCACTATAACAAGCAAACAATAAGCAACGTCCAATTGTCTGCTCTGTGGCGATGACGCTGAACCAAAGTAGGTAAGCGAGGGAGGTGCTTTTTGATATTTGACAGTTGCTAAAGTAATATCAACTAAGCTAGGAGAAATTGGCGCACACCGCACCTCGGACATCAAGAAGACGGTTCACATCACATGCCACAGAAATGATACCTAAGCGAATGCTCTGCTTTCAGGTGGCTCAGGCGCTTAGAAACTCTCTTACGTTTGTTTATTTCCATCTCAACTTACTTGGTCCAACTTCGGTCACCTTTGGCACGTTTCTCCACAATGTATCCAGTGGTTGGCCCTTTGTGAGGCGGGTCCCAGGCCAAGGTGACGGAATCATCGGAAGTATCGACAACCTCTGGTGTCGACATTCCGGAAGGTGGGTCTGAGGACGTTAAAGAGGGAAGCAGGAAGATCAGTGTGTGTATGTGTGTAAATACACGCGAAATTAATACGTAGTCAAGGGAACTGAGTGCAGACTTACCGAACGGGTGACGTGGTTTGATGGCGTGGTCTGTGACCAAAGGCTCACTGGTTCCCAATGCATTCTCGGCCATAACACGAAATTCATACTCTTCACCCTCTTCCAGGTTACGCACCGTAGCAGTGGGGGTCTTGAGAAAGCCACTGACTTTCTGCCAGCTGTTGTGGTTTATGAATAGTTAAAAGAAAGTAATAAACAGCTGTTTACTTCGTTACATTCCATTGATGCACAGAGACCATTGAACACACTAATGTTTACCATCTACGTTCAGTTAATCACATGAAACAGATAGAACGCAACTGGGTAGTATGAAAAGTTCTTTATCCATGGGAGATTTAAGGAGGCAGTTGGACACCCAAAGCATCAGTCTTCACCTCTAACGCTGGCGGAACATAAGTGTCGGATACTTAGTTAGCAATTAGCAAAGGGAACTTCAAGGAAGCATACTAACTTGTCCGATCTTTTTGGACGCTTCTCCAGTACGTAATTTGTCACTGGTTCCCCACCGTCGTCCTCCGGCGGCTTCCACCTCAGCGTGATTTCGTTCTCCTTGACTTCAACTGGTTCGAGAGGACCGCCTGGAGCAGCAGGTGGTCCTTGACGGAACGAGGGAAAAGTAAATGGCGATTAATCAGTAGCTCCTCCAGTGATAATCATTTAACGCGTTTCAACTGTTTAGAAACCGAGTAACACTACAAATAACATAGGTAAGTGCTACAAATTGCACCTCTTAACCACCGTGTGCTAGCATTTTTCCAATCGTTTTCTGAGACATGTCCCAGTAGGACTCATAATAGTATGCTGATCGAGATACGACAAGACAGAATCCAGGGATGAAAGAAGCTTCCGCTTAACAAGCGTCCCGTTACGTGCGCCAGTAAGCGAACAGAGCTCCCAGCACTTCGATTGGTAATGGATTCTTGCGCTTATAATGAGGAGAATGAGTAAGAGCAAAACAACACTGTGCTCCATGAGGCTTTGCGATCTTCTATGATCCCATCAGATAGAGATAGAAGGCATCCAACCCGGAACCATTGGGATGTTAGTTGTGAAGGCTACCCCTAAGCCACCGCGTCGACAAGCATAAAAAGTTGCCGATTTCAACCGGTAGGATCAAGCATGAGCAAAATGACTACAGACGGTTAGGAACACCTTGAAATCACTCCTTCGAACAGACATGGTCCTAGTCGTAACATTTGTATGCGTTTTAACTGCTTAAAGTGAGTTTACAAACCTTAGGCGTCATGCATTAAGCCCATTACTTAGCACTTACGATCCAAGTTTACCTACATTAGTCTGTTGAACGCTTTATTCGATTGTTTACAGTTTCCAGTCTCCACCCGTACGTTGCAAATCTAGTCGACAAAGCTATGCACACTGTTTTGCTTCACAAAACCACAGCTACAAGAATGGAATAGAATTCTTCTGGCAAATCATTGTCTATTGGTGGTTTTGTGAGTAGTGTAATTTTTATAGAAAGTAGAAGCCACGACTAAACTTTGCACGATAACCTGCCTCGACGGGAATGGAACCCCGGAGGTACGGATTACCGGTCCGCTGCTGCAGTTTAATCGTGGCTTCTACTTTCTACAAAAATCATTATCTAATCAAACATTGCATATTAGTTTAGTGGCTCACATCGTCCCTCATATGCGATTCATACAACACTTAGATTTAGCACGGTTCCTCAACTAAGCTGGTAAACGGTATTCATAACACTATGGAGTTGCAACAAAACCCAACCGATGAAACCTCACTCAATTAGACGATCTCGTACTCACCGATGACAGTCACCTGACATGAAGTAGTCACCTGTCCCAGATCATTGCTCAGCTGCAACTGATAGCGTCCGCAGTCGGCCCTAGTCACTTTGCCCACATGCAAGATAGTGACTCCGCCGGGAGAGAGCTCTAGAACGCCACCGGGGCCCGGATGCGCTGGGGGCGGTAACCGTCCATCGCTTGTGGTAATGCGGGAGCCATCCGGTCGGATGGGTTTGCCATCCAGAGTCCAGGTGAAGGTGGGCGCGGGGTGCCCGAACCAAGCAACTGGAAGTTCCAGATCGTGACCAGCCTAGGGAGGAAATGAGGGTCTGGTAAAATACTCAACCATCGGGGAATGTTTGATAAATGAACAATTATGAATATAACAAGGATGGTTATGAAACCAGGGGCATTGTAAATCTAGAAACAAGTGTGCAACCCAGCGCCGTCTATAAGTGTATAAAGAAAAGGAAGGATAATGCTGACCTTTAAGGTGACGTCCTTTAGACCACCAACACCGGTTCCAGGTCCACCCACACAGTCCTCCGGAGTGACTATCCGCGGCGCCTCTGGCTGATCTGCCGCTGTAATCGGCGGTGTTGGTTTAGTCGGCTCCCCTGGTCCCTCCTCATTGATTGCGCGTACGCGGAACTGTCCGGTTTCACCCTCTTTCATTGGGATGAAGGCACATGGTTCGGTAGTCTGTTTGACTGGGACCCAGTTACCGTCATCATCCTTCTTCTCCACTTGGTAGCCGGTGACCTTGCTACCACCGTCTTTGCGTGGTTTTTGCCAGGACAATTTGACACCGTTCTTATTCACTTTGTCAACATGTAAGTTTTCAGGTGCAGCGGCTGGATCTATGAACAGAAAGCGAACAAAACAGGTAATTCATGAGTCAGCACTTTCGGCTTTCCAGTCAGGGTTTGCATCCAACCGATCATTAAGGGTTGGCCACTAGTCTACATAGTTCAGTACTCCCGCACGTTTCTTTTACTGTGGTGGTGCTCTGTCACGTGACAATACCACCTATTAATGGACCACACATCGCTTGCTATAGGTCAACCACATCCCACACCCACACACAAACAAACACCGCGTATCATGCACAAACTCTAGTGGTTGGGCTTAAAATGTGCCCGGATAGAAATCAGAATGATGTCGAAGTCGGTCTCCAGGAAATGAGGTTACTACTGAGCACGACAGTTGCGAACGACATCCATCTCCGTAGTCCTCCGTCATTGGAACACTAAAGTATTGCAGGGCTCCGGCTCCAGAAGAAAAACCACGAGAAGCATCGTCATTTGCACAGCTCATCGGCATCCAACGGAAATCCCAAACAATGAAACTACTTAGTTCTTTGATTAGTTTTAACTAAATTGCAGCCGATCCGTACTCAAGTACGTGATACAAATGTTGCGTACCATACGCAGCTATGGTTGAGTGTAGCCTATTCCACAACGAAACAACCATCTAAACCTAGAGCCTTACATCGGACACTTCCAATGTGGACGTCGGCGCATTCTTAGGATGAAGACTATCGCATGTAATTATGTCTCTTGAACTGGTTTGGATAAGATCATACACCAACTTGCCGAGATACTTTGTAGGAGATAACAAACTATCAAACTTACCAACAAGCAAGAACAAACTCCGTGGTAAACGCCCCTGGACTCATAGTCCCGTCTCCATCTGGACTTCGCTGGTGCAGTCGTGAGAGTGTCGAATCTCGTTTCTGTCAACGCTTGCTCTAAATATCTAGCGATAAAATTACCCAGCCCCACTACTTCAAATAACACGATGATCTTCAAGCAGAACGTATACCAAGCAGAGTTGCTTCTGACGGTTAGGCTCACGGACCTTCGCAGCCGTTTGAACATTTAACTTATACGGTCCCCACCGCATCAAGCAAGGTCGAATGATCAGGCTGGGCACTTCATCGATAGCTACACGACACCTAAATGGAATTCAAGGACGAAACTACTGATAGGATTCTGTAAACACTCCTGTTTGTGCATCGAACCACACATAACTCATCGCCATCCGACAGCCGTTCGCCGACCGAAACTCTGATGGACTGCAAACTATGTTCGGTGTACCAAGCCCTCGTCTAAAAAAGAAATTCACTTGGTCTGTTTTCGGCATTGGAGGAAGTCAGCCTACAACTACTCCCGCACTGATATATTATGGAACCTTTGCTATTCAATCCACGAACACCATAAGACCCATTCAATCGAAGGATCAGGTCGCTACGGACCTTCTCCTTCATTGATAGGCAGATAAGGTGTAAGCACTACGGCTAAATTTAGGAAAGAGAAGCTACTGACAACCAGTTGTTTAAAACAGAAGGGCGCTAGGAGGATCAGTACCATCACATATGGCCAAGTTTTGAGCTATACCAAATAAGTTAATAGTAATTTTAAATGTTCGCATTTTCTCACCTGTACCAATTGTCTGAACAAAACCGTCGATTCGCCTTACTCGATTCTGATGTGCCTGCCGAACTTCATTTCTACCAGCATCCTTTGAACCCACCAAGAATACTGCAGTATTACATAACAATCCCTTTCGCTTCCTAATGACACCGATTCGCGAGCCGGTAAACTTTCCAGCGGCACTTCTTGTATCCCCTCAGCCTACTGGGCTTAGAGTACGCGGTGATTATCCCTCAAGAGTGGGTGTGCCCACAGTCGACCATTATTGACCGATGCTGGTTATGAACATTCACGAGGGACAGCGATACTGAGCGATTTCGGATCCGTATCACATCACAGTACACCACGCAGTAATGCTGGATGCACTACACCACTGCCACAAGATCATTGACAGAAGCGGCAATTTTTACAAGATTTACATAGCTTGCAAGAGGATTTATAGTGTATAAGTTCAATTCGACTTCCATAGCGACATCGTAACATTCATGATCATTCCCGCTGTGAATAACCACGACGGCAGTACAAATCATCGCAATTGCCCGCCGATTCGACTGCTGGGATCGATATTGATTTCTAAGCAAATGACAGATTCTCCACTGGTGGTGGCTATGGGGCATTGGTGGCAGCAGGTTGACACTTCAGTGGCATTCTTCAGGAATTGGTGGGAAACATCTGCCAGGTAGAGGATTTCGAAGCGCTTATGCGTCGGCTGATTTGCATTCCAAGAGTGCATTGCAGTCTGTGTAAAGTGGATCCTACCAACGTGTACTTGCATCTCATGAAATATATTATAATGAGCACAGTATGTAATGGTCAATTCAGGTACGATTATAACCTTGGTATTTGCAGCTAGTAACGAGTTATAAGGTACACATTACAGCGTAAGCATATGGGAGCAGAATACAAAGTTGGATTTGGAGAACCCGCTGTGTGGTTGGATGGCGATACGCAAACAACTTCGCATTCCTTTCCGCTGTGCCAGACGTTGCTCGCGGATCTCAGTGGCACAGTGATCAAAGCTTATCCGGGAACCACTAGGCTCCGAGTTCCACCCAGCTCAGGCTATATCCACCTGACGAGTCCAAACCAGGACGAAACCGTCGGTCGTGGTGTGTCAGTATTGGAAGGAGCAACGCCGAAATATTTCCATATGGGAGCAACTACATCAAAAATCCCGTCTTCACAAATAACAGAACTAGAAAAGGAACTGTAAGGTTGCCAGTCATTGTGGAAAAGCGATATTACGATTGCATGCGTTCTGGTGCACATGTAAAGGGTGGCATATGGGTAGAGGGCAAAGAATGACAGAGCGCTCAGCGCTCTTTTCCCAAATGCGCAACGATTTGCTACTCATTCGTAGGCGAAAAAGTGGGGAAATGTGCTACGTCGCCAAGGCGCTATTCACTGATTTGCTGACGCAATGTAGACGTTTCGGAAGTCATACAGCAGACAGGTGGGAGTGTGAAGCAGGAGGTAAAGTATTTGTTAAATAGGCAAGCACTTTTCAGAGACTGAACTAAAGTTCAGTCGCTAACAACAAATCAGGTCAATCGAAGGAAGTGCACTGTGTTCATTGGAAAGGCGGATTTGAATGCGGCACATAATTTTTAGTGAATAAGTTACTTGTGAGTGCATGAGGATCAAATGTCACTTAAAACCAGTTGGTATTTTGCGAGGGGAATCAGTTGCACACATAGTTACATATTCCGATAGTGTACGTAGTTTGGCTTCGTCTGTTGAATGGTAGAAACCAGAAAACTGAAATAAAAGGAGTGCGTGTCGACTAGGAATACGCTCCTACTCCTCTAGCGGGACCTGATAGGTGATTATGAGTTGACGGAGAATATATGTGATTTGTGATACCTTCAGTTACTTCTCAGACTAGTCAAACTACTTCGCAGTACCACGAGTTGCCAGCGCTCGCTGTGAATTTTGGTGGGGACAAATTCTTCAAATTGGCAGTTTAATACTATGCGCGAATTTACAATGAAACAGTCCACAATGCTACGGGCATACTCACAGACTGGGTCTCTCATTTCGTGAGGCGCAGTGGCACGAGACGGCCGACTAGGTCCAGCGTCATTGACTGCGCTGACACGGAATTCGACAGTTTGGCCGGGCTCCAGACCAGTTAAATGGGCGCTAGATCCGTTTACCAGACCTGCAGTGGCTGGCTTCCATTCGCCCTTTGGTGTGCGCTTCTCAATCAAATAACCTGTGGGTAAAGATACACAGAAGAAAATAGAGTTAGCTAGAAGATATTTTGCCCCTCAAAGTGGGAGAGAGCATGAGGACGTATGCATACCGAATGAAGGCTGACTTGAATGGATAGAAGTTGTCCACCTGTTTATTGCCTTTCGATTAACTATATTTGCTGTGACTTGATTCTCATCCCATTTGGTGTTAAAAGTAGGCACTTATGCTTAGCCGCTCTCTAGCTTCCACCTGCCACTGGGAATTCAAAGATTGTTGTATCCAGAATGTTTTAAACAAGGTCTCTCAGGGTGGAGCGCTTCCATCACCGCTTCCATCCGTTATTCCTTATTCTACTCATAGTCATGAGATAGAAAAATGATTATAATTATACAGTATGTAGGTAATAAAACCAAACGGTGTTTATCCGCTTGGATTTAAAGTAGCAGGCTGTCTTCCACAATGTGAAGAATTCAGATCCGGAGAGGATCCGTCCTGTGTATTTACCCAAGGCACCGAGTGGCCGCCATGGCTGAACCATAAAAGACTCCTGAAGTCAGCATTTCAAAGTGATCAATCAAGAGATGGTGCTCTCCATCTTCCACCATCGCACACGGTTGCCGTCGGTAGAATTAGTCCAATGAGGAGGAGCAACGGTCAATATGGTAGGTACAAACGTTCCGTCTTACCTACGGGTATATAATAGTGAAGATGAATGACCGAAAATATACAGCAGATTAAAATGCATTGAAATTTGTTTTTTAGATTTTTTTGAAACAGTAATCATCCTTTAGATCAAATGGATGCTATCAGACATGGCAATATCCTGTTTTAACCATATTTCAAAGGTACCGCTGAGATTGACCTTTCCTTTTCCAACTTAAAGAAGGTGACGGGACTTGAAAGCTTCGGAAAAGTTATTTACTAATGGAGGAACGTTATATTGAAATTGACTTCGATTCGGGTATCAAGTATGAGGAAAACTCAAGAACATCCCACTCTATGCCATAAAGCTCGGTGTACCGGGCATTCCGAAGTAGAAAATCGCTCACCTTTGACTGGGTTTCCTCCGTCATGCTGGGGCGGATTCCAGGACAGATCGACTGAATGCTTATCAAAGCTGTCAATATTCAGATGATCCGGAGCATCGGGGACGTCTGGTGAAGGGAACAGTAAAAGGATCAACTGAGCAAACAGTGGTAACATTTATTTTTCGTCGAAATTGGTGTTCTTGGTCGAAATGACCGGCTGCTGGTGGTACTAAAATTACATACTAAGGTGGGTATCTAGAACCCTGCAACTCAGCTTCGGCGAACCCTGCGTTAAGGAATCTGTCTGGGAGACATTGAGATTCACGCTGATTCAGACTTCCTTGGGATTCTGCGTCTAATGAAACTCTAATCATTCAGGAGCAAAACGTATTGAAGTGGATTAGCAGAGTACAAACATTGATCAGCCTGAAGTCCTCTACAGATAACATTTCGCTCTATGAAAGGTGCTTCCTTAATTGACCTCCAAGAGCATATAACTGCACCCTAACATTGAATCAGCGAGATGACTGAATAATGTGAAGTAGGAACCGGCCACTTAGCGAATGGATACGAAACTGAATTAACCACCAGCAAGTGTACTCATTCAAACAACTTCGAAATCGACTCTTCCATCCTCCGCTGAAACCAGTGGTTAACAAAGCAGATTCGGGTACCAGAAAGTAAGTGGCATCTTATTGAGGGAAACCGCAGAGGATGAGCAGATAACTGTTGGGTGTCATCGGCCTTCGCTTTCTACTGTAGCCTGGTGTTAATAGTCACTGTCTGGAAGGAAGGCTTCCGGAGTCTGAACTCCGTCAGGCTCAATTGGAATGCATGCAGACACTAAACAGTCAAGGGAAGGACCGACTCCCAACTACAATACATATGTGTAGTAACTGAACCAGGCCACAATTATGATCCTTCGAGAATTGGAAGGTGTAGACACCGAAAGATATAAAAACAAACGTATCCGTATACGGGATGCCATAAGGCATACTCAACTATAAGCCGGAGAATTAAACTTGACGTTCAGTTCGTAGCTCCTGCACAGGCTATTGCGTGCTTGGGTTGCAGCGCTCATGCTCAGGCATCGCTCACATAGTTCGGTGGCCTAAATTTTGTGGCAGTGACCCGACTTCCAATTTAGGTTAGCTCAACCGGATGTAACCAAACCGAGACAAAATCAGTAATAGAGCACAACGTTAGTACTGAGAACCTTCTCCTTTTGGAATGGAATTCAAACACAGTCATACCAGTTGACATTTGAGACATGAACAAGACCTCTGTTATAAGAGTTAAAATGTCGCTCTTTCTTACATCGTATTCGATCCAACAATACTTTCATGCATGAAACTCGATCACACGCACGTTAACAGTAACCTGTATTTCATTTTAAAAAGTCAGTAGTCATTTCCACCTATTTTGTTGGGGATGTCACCAATTTTAAACGATGTACCGGTCAACACCAATAAATCACGGAAAGGCCAATGAAGCACACTTCGTGAAAGAAAGGAGTAAAAGGTAGACGTTCCTACTGTTGTATATCGACCGCAGAAGGTACTCGGTAAACGCGTCTTGAAGTACCTGAGAGAAGATGAACATATAGTCATAACATAGTAGTGGTAGAAGAGAAAATTCCGGGACTCGAAAAGTAGCCAAAATCTACTAATGTAGTAGGCTAATCGCCACCAAGGTCAGCGCGAAGGTGTAAGCAAAAAGCCTATTAGAGTTGTGGCATTCGGAACGCAAGAAACAAATCCAGTGACACTCGACTCTTAGTAGGTTGGTGTTTTCGCTACGATTTGTCTCCTTACGTGAGGAGGATTTGATCCCACGTGAATATTGGTGATCACGAACCGCTGGCCTTAACCGCTATTACCATACAGTGAAACACAACACTATTCCTACATCGCTGCGACCAGAAACGATGCATACTATCACGACTATTCCTCTGTCGACCGAGGCAAGACTTGGCACATCAGCAGTCAAAATATTTCCGGGGAACATCCGCAACTGAAAGGGAGGATCTCCTGTGAACGTAGAATCAAGGACGCATTAATCTATGGGACTATCTACCCAGCCTTCTGTACCGAAAGTAATCTGCCCCGAACCGATTGGATCACAAGGTTAAATTTATTCAAGCAGACACTGAGTAATCTGAGTTCTGTAACGATTGTTACTGTCTGCAATATTGGCCGTAATTGTTGTAAATGCTCGTGTGATTACTAGTTACTTGTACGGACGACACTGCTGTATTGGCCGACGCCCGAACCACCATGGTCGCAGATCCAAGGACCCAGGTGGATTCCTTTGTCAGAGGTCCTATGGGGACCAAACGTGAAGTAATTTCTCAAGAAGATGGAGGTGTTATGGGAGCAATAAAAAAGCAGGTATGCTTCTGTAACTGTTCATGGCTGTAGACTTTCGTGTGCTCGAGTGGCTCACCGATGTTTGTTTTAACCTATGACTCCACTATCCCTATTGGCTTTTGGATTCATTAGTTTGTCTTCATCTCTCAGCCCTACGCTGACACTAACACAGTACTTCACGTTCTTTGTATGCACCCAATTGGTTCCTTATTGGTTCAGTTTTATCGTATTTACTTGTCCCCACACTTTCCGTACTCTGGTTGAATTTCACGCTTGTGCGTCATGGTATATAGCGAAATGGTTTCCCTATGTAAAAGAACCCTTGAATCCTTGTCCCTGGTCGTTCGTGTTCTCACTACCGTTAGTGGGTGGAAGCAGTCGCGGGGCTCCGACACAGCAGCTATGCTCAGAGATACAACTTGTTTAGAAAACTTCAGCCTTCGGTCCAAACAAGTGGAAACACCATCACACTCACCAAACGGATTCTTGGCCGTGTATGCACCGATCGCTTCGGTCGGCTCACTTTCACCTAGGGTGTTGACTGCAGCGACTCGGAAGCGATATCGCTTTCCTTCGGTTAGTCCTTTCACTGGACAGGAAGTGCCAGTCCCCGTATTTGGAACACGCTCCCAGACTCCGGTAACTGCATCACATTTCTCGACCACGTAACCTGATGTGAAAGGAGATGGAGAAAAGGAATTACTCTCATCTCACATGGCTAACTTGTTGGTCCAAAGAGAGATTCATTATTCGGTTCATTAAAAAGGCATAAAGGACAGCGACACAATCTACACAAAACCAACCACAGTAGTAAATGTGGACAGAGTCTCTAACTTGATGATCAACATGGAGGCTGGAGGAATGGCAAATCAAAGTCCAATCTAGGAGAGAATACCTATCTACCAACTTTTGTTTTGCTGCATGCAATCCCACCCATTTTTGTTCTATCGTATCATTATGCTTAGGTTGGTAGTCATGTGTCTCAAGAGGCAGACCATGGTTAGATCCCATGAAGTTTTACGTCTATTATTGACTGCCTATTGGCTGTAGGTGGTTGGTGCTTAAACTGACCGTTTATTTGATTGAATGGATAACTGTTTTCTAAAAGTGAAGTATTTGTCTCTCGCCTGAATTGACGGTTGGTTCTCAATCGCAACTCGAGGTCACTACCCCCCCCTTCACAGGACAAAGAGAAGACCGGATCGGACGAGCAAAGGAACAGGGATGCATTAGCCAACCACACTGTTCATTATAAAGGTAAAATCGAAGTTCGTGAATGGTATTTAGGGCTCATGTTGAAAATTCCAGAAGTGCCAACTTACGGCTAATCAAGGAATGCCACCCTCGTGAACTGGCCGCTTCACCTGGTTGGCTATCTATTCGCCCCAATCAGTGCGGGTGAGTTTGGATTGCTTGTCATGCCTTGGCTCCCTAACGCGATGGGTACATCGGCTGTTCGTTTAGCGTATTCCTTCCTAACAACACTCCGGTTGGCTTCGATAGTTGTGCACTTTTTGGCAATTTTGCTCCTGTAGCTTACCTTCATGCCACATAAACAGCGCGTATTACCGAGGTAGATAATCTTGTCCCACTCATCCCTGCCGTTCTCACTACCAGAGTGGCGATGAAAGCGGTGTGTGGGGCCAATACTAAAAGTGTACGCTTAGTACTCCCGAATGCCAACGATCGCAGTCGGCCAAGATGTGTGGGGTAACCTGACAGCTGTCACCTTTTCTTCCTGTGATTAGTCTATGTTTCCCTTTCCTATATTAGTTCATTCCTCACATTCGTGGCGCTGGTGTGTAATTCATGCGAGGTATTAAAGGCACCAATCAGCAGATCAATGAACTCACCCGTAATTGGTGAACCGCCATCATGCTCCGGTGCCTTCCACTCGAGCTTGCAATGGTCGGCGAACAATTCGGCAACTTTAACATCATCAGGTGCATCTGGCTTGTCTGAAAATTGAATGCATCATGTTAGGAATTAGTGAAGCAACTGTAAACAATAGGACGTGAAAGGCAAGATACTCCTTCATCACTTTCTCGACAAACAGGAGATATGGTTCACAAATATACTCAGGAATCCCTAAAACGGATATGAGCTGTGGACCGATCAAATAGTTATGGATATCCGAAGTTGGGTTCAAAAAGCCGATACACTAGTAGCAAATCCCTAAGCACTTTACCGCGTACTTGTTAGGTAATGTGTAGTTATGCAGAGTTCGACCAAGATTACAAACATACCTCTCTTAGGTCGTATTTTCGTCATCGGAGTGGGTTCACTCGGGGCCCCAACGCCAGCGGCATTGACTGGCTTCACACGAAACTCGTACTCACCGCCCTCATCCAGATCGTCTATACGAGCCTGATTGCCACTAACTGGCTTTCCATCCTTCGTGGCCGGTTCCCAGTCCGGTGAGTTCTTCTTGCGCTTTTCGACCACGTAGCCGGTAATACGTGCTCCACCATCTTTCACCGGACGAGGCCAAGAAAGTTCCACATAATTTTTACCAACATCATCCACAGTTGGTTGCCCAGGGCTATCCGCAGTGGCTGGCGGTGCAGGGAGTAGAGCGTGATAGGTAGTGTTAGAGGAGCAACAATCATTAAGGTGTGCATTCGTAAACATCTATAGCTATAGACTTTCGCCTTACCGTGCTCACACACTGATGCTTGTCTTAAGGTATAAGTTCGTTAGCTCCATTGGCTATTTGCAGTCGTTGCTTCTGGATGCGAACTACAATATCAATCTGACGTTAACGCTATCATTTTTCTTTCCTTGCCAGACCCTTATTAGTCTTGTCTGTTGGCACGACTTCAGTGGTCTGGTTGGTTTTACAGCTACGGGTTAGGTATAAACAGTGTCACTCTCGTGTTGCTCCGTATCCACACTACCGTTATTGGATGGAAGTAGCCGCGGGACTTGACAGAATAAACAGACTGGTTGGGGATCCAATTGGAGAGTATAAATCACAGTTTCATAGTCTGTAGTCTACAGGAGATCAGACAGTCTGGACAAGCAAGCGCTTGGTAGCGACACCACTAGCATGGCTAGTACGCGGATGCACAATGCGCACACTATTCTTTTCAAAGTACAACCCGGTGATCGCAAGTTGTGAATTTATAATATCTGAACCTAGCAGCAGATGGTATTGACTGGACGCACCCGGCATTAGAAACCATCACAATACTGAAAGGTTAGATTACTTACAAAAGACAAGTAGTATGAAAGTCACGTAACTCGGGTAAACATGTAGAAAGATGGGTCACTGGAGAGGGATGTTAAAGCAAGTGGTGCCTGTCAACTAGACATATGAGGCATAACTTGACCTGAATGATTGGTTGACTTGCGATAAATGGTCGTTTTTCGGTAGGTCATCACAGATCCACCGTTCGTTGGATAATTTATTAACCATACTACTTTCCTTTTACTACTACAATAAACAGTCTCTCGAAGAATTCGGAAAAATAGGTGAATATGAAATCCGCTTGCTTAGTGGTCGATTTGGGGGAGCGTTTATGTCATCAGAATGGCTTAAACCACTGATTGCCTAGGAACTGCCCAACAGCTACACCAGAGATGAAACGATGGACAAAATGCCGTCACTTACTGTATTTCGGCTTGCATTCCACCGGACGAGTGCTACCACTGGGCTCTCCGACCCCAACATCGTTCTTGGCGCAAACACGAAACACGTACTTTTCTCCTTTCTTCAGTCCATCGACTGTGTGATAAAGGGTGAAGAAGAAGATGGTAGTTTCAGTAGAACATGTGCTATGAGTAGCTGCGGGGCTGGTGTTTTGAGAAATCAAGCTATCCGTCGAGCGTGCAGAAAGTATGCTACCAAACGCATCAAGCACATTGCGGCCGGTTCGAGTAAGGTCAAGTTGTCCTTTGCGCATCCGAGTGAATGCATCTTTCAGCATTCATTGTATCACTACAGACGTACTCAAATGTGTCATAAGTCAAAAAACACAAAAATGGCATTGATAAGCTTCTGAATCGGCCAAACAGTACATTGACGACTTCGTCGGGTGGCGAGGAAGTGTGGCATGTTTTGCAAGACGGGATCACGATGCGATACTTTACAAGAGTTCGTGCGATTAGTAGCTACAAATCCTCACGTAGTCAGCGGTAGTCGTCGTTTGGTATTAGGGGGACACTCATTGGACATACATTTTTTGGAAAAACATTCTTTTGTTTTCTTCCACTATTGCTGGTAATTACATCTGTTTATACACAGAATTTCGCTAATTTTAGTGGCTACTTGTGACCACTGTCTCCGCCCCCAGATCCCAGTTCTACTTTGCTGCTAACACTCTCTTTTCATTCGTTGCGTTTCTCTTATTGGTTCCGTTGTTGATCAATCTTCATTCGCTACATTCGGCTTGCAACCTTTCAGCAGAATGGTTGGCTCAAATGATTTTAGTAGCGTCCCTGCAGTTCATGCACAAAATTATTTAAACAGATATGTTTCAATGCATACAATTCTTTCCCGGCACGTCTTTGGAGTTCTTCTTGAGGTCATGGGGTGAAGGCGTCAGCTGAGACACAGCATTTGGTAACTTACGGGGTAATTGAAAATATAACAATGCTTGTTAACAGTAAAAGCAACAAGGTAACCAGGGAATGTCTCTGCATCTAGAAAGATGCCCCAACAGCTACAAAAACATATTTATGCCTTTAAAACAAGGTGTTCCCTTTATAATTCCAAACAGGTAGCGCAAATCCGGAGCCATATATTATCTCTTATACATTGTTCATTGTTTAGTTAACTATCATTGTTGCATGTTTTGGTGATTTATAAGAATGCACGAACCGGCGACTTCATCTCATAATCTACGTCTTCTGTTTTTCGTGTTTGGATTTATCCCTTTGCTGAAGGCCGAGGGTACAAGGGAGGAACGATTGCACTACGGATGAATAAAACTGGGATTATGGGACAAAAAGACCTCGAAATGCTTGATGGTGGGGTGAATAGGGTATGTTGTAGCACTCAAATCTAAGGTAGAAAATTGTGTACTAGAACTTGAGAACTGCTGCTTTTGGGGCATTCCGTTTCGGTATGGTTGCATTGTTCACTGAGAGTTGAAGCTGTTGTATACGAAAGATCAAAATGTACGTGCAAGTTAAAAGGTCACTCTTGTAAACGAACTGCTATAGTCTGATCAATGTCTAACTGGGTGAGTACATTAAGGTATCGCAAGGAGAAGGATGAACCAATAAGGAAGCAGAGAATTAGACGCTTTGTGTGTGTGTGTGTCCGGATTGTGTGCACGTGTCTGTCTAGACTAGCCGTCAAGAGTGCTGATAGAATACACAACAGGTCCATTTAGCTCAGCGCCTCAGCATCAAAGGAACTGTTCGGTGGCGACCGGAAGTCCATTTGTGTGGAGAGGTGACTACTTCCAGCATTATTCGATGGCTGAAATATATGTTCTCCCGTTTCGGATTACCAGAGGAGATAGTGACGGACAACGGGCCGGTTTACAAGCCACGAGTTTCATTCGTTCCTTCAACTTCACGCTATCCGGCACTCACGTACAACGCCGTATACTCCAGCGGCAAACGGCATGGTAGAGCGGTTCAATCGATCCTTGAAAGAGAGTATCCAAACTATTCGCTTATCTGGTACAGGTTGGGAGGATGTAATTTTGCAAGCACTATTTTCTTACCGAACCGCACACCACCGAGCCACAGACAAAACGCCAGCTGAACTCATGCTTGGGCGTGTCCTTCGGACAAAGTTGAATGCCGCACTTCCTATTCCTGCAACCAATAATTCCGACGAGTTAGATCGTCGCCATCGATATCAGACCACTTACCAGAAGCATACTACTCCGCTCCAGCCCGGAACATTCCTGAGCGTGAAGGTAAACGCTGCATCAAAAGGACAACCCACGTTATCAGATCCGATAAGAATAACGCGCGCATGTGGGACAGGCACTTACCGGCTGGAGGATGACCGCACAGTCAACGCCCGGCGATTATTCACAAGTGAGGCTATTGAATTTAAATTCTGTAACTGAAAATTTTTATTTTGCTTATCAAGAACAATGGGCCGAAGGTAAACAATTGTTTTCGATGAGTTCATCGTCAGAACTTTACAACCATATGGGTATAATATTAATGGGTCTAACAGTGAATTCGATCAGTTCAAATGAAAGTAGACCACGTGCCGACCAGCAACAAACTTAAACTGTAAGCGCAAACTAAGGCAAAGATGTAGCCGAAACGATTGCTCCTGACTTCAGAATCGTCCATTGTAGCTAACCAGCGTAGCTTAACAGCGTCCATCAGTTTCTTTTGTAAACACAAAAATAGTTGATACAACAGAATACTGATTGCGTAGGCTGTAGCGAGGGTGCGGAGGTGTAGGTCTTTCGACTAGTGTGGAGGAGGAGGTGTGGAGGAGTCGTGTATAGTACTCGAAAGGTGCGGATTGGCTCGACTTCATGCCCACTATCAACGAGGTGAGTCATAACAGAGCTAGTTATAGCCCCGGTACCACAACGCAACCAGCGTGGAAGGTGCTCATTAACGCGCTTTGACAGGTGTCGCGCCGTTCGACCGATGTAAGTGGCGCCACAGGCGCAGTTGAACTGACGAATGACCATAGAAGTGGTCAGCGTTGGCAACTTGTCTTTTTTGTGAATACGAATCAGAAGATCCGTTGAGGAAGTATACTTGAGCTTAGCAGCAGATTGTAAAGGTCTGACGATGAATTCAAGTTACTTAAATCATCGAAAACAATTGTTTACCTTTCGCCCCTTGTTCTGGAATTGAAATTTTATTTGTGCATCAATACTTGCAATAATATCTCTTGGATCTCACTCAGTCAATGTAGCTCGCATTTGGAGTAACGGATAGGATGTGCGTGACTGATCACATTCGGATAACACCTGACACCTGAGAAATCTTCTTTTCGTGCCGAGACTTTCTGGTAGCGGTCGTGACACGCTCGGCTTTGTTTGTTAGGCAAAAATAACCGGTTAAAAAACGAAGACGATAAATCAGGTGTTCACAAAGTATGCCGCCTGTTGTGCGAACGATTCGTGCAACGTCTACCACAATTGTTTAATAAGTCACACGGAGATTTTGGAGCAGCTACTGCGTGCTCGGATTGCATTAAGGAATCACGGTTTGGAGCATCACTCGCCAGGAACAAGAGCTCAATCACTTCAATCAGTAGGATCGCATTTGGTGCACTTATGTGGTCACAACGGATGAGAGCTGAGTCATGAATTTGCGACGAGAAGTAAAACGGCGGTAGACTAGGGGGGTGGCTGACCAAATCGCTTCACCGTCGACAACACGGATTGCTATGATGGCGAGGTAAGTGAACGAAATCACTCCGTCAGAGCAAGCGTAAGCGATGCTGCGATTGACCGGGCTTGCAGGCAGCCAAATACAAGAGACCGCGAGTACGTGCGATCGCAGATAGACAAGTGATCGGTCACCAATCACTCGTGCGACATCTATTCTGATTGGAAGGTAGGGATGAGGATGTCTTCCTTCCGTATTACGTCGCTAAAGCCGAAAGGAGCACCAGCCAGAGAGCAAGGCCAGGGCGGAGTTACAAAGGATGCGCTTCCTATGTTAATAATAACGGTGTGCCGGCTGTACGCCGTAACGGCGCTTCGCTGCCGTGCGACCACCACCTGTCGCGCAGGGGCTGAATATACCGCAAGGACCCCGCCCCTACGCGGGTTCGAAGCGGTGACCTTATGATTACAAGCCAGTCGTGCAAACCACTCGGCCACCGGCCGACGTGTTTCGAGGACGTGTTACGTGGACCTCAATAGTGGTCTAGATATTTGAAGACAGTTACTCAAGCCATACATTTTAAGCCTACTTGAAGGTAAAAGTATAGCATATAGATAGATAGATATAGATAAAGATAGATATAGATAGATAGATAGATATAGCATATAGATATTCTGCCTATACTTTAGGTCAGCCATAGAAATAGAACATATTTTTGGTACCTCAAAAATGCTGCGTTTTATTTTAACCAGGCTTCTCAAATGGTAGAAGAAAGTTCCTCTAGTCAGAGGCGCAATTTCTGTTTCCTGTGTACGTATGAATGACCATTTTGTTTTCACAAATCCGCTACCGGATGACCAAAATCAGGATTTGACTGTGTGTATCATGGGCATGGGCAGGAGTGTTCGTTTTGTGATGTGAGCCCATCCGGCATGGATTCATTATTAAAGGGTTGCTGTTGTACAACTGCCGCTGCACACGAAACTTGAGAGCAAAGCACAAGACCTTAGACCTAAAATACCTCTACGGAAGGCAACGATGCATCACAGTCGGGGGGACGAATTTCCATAGAATCTCACTGAATCGTGTCATTGCAGTTAGAAAAGGTTGGCGCAACGATCTATCGACTAGATGACCAAAGTTCCTCCACCTACCTGTTGCGGTGGGTTCACGGACTGTTGGGCCCTTCTCCCAATCGTCCGCGTTGACTGGTTTGTACTCGACCACGTAACCAGTGATGCGTTTCCCCCCATCTTTACGAGGCTTAGTCCATTCGAGGGTGACTTTATCTGCATCCACATCGGCCACGTTTAGGTTACTTGGAGCATCGGGTGTAGCTGACAACAAGGTAACAAAAGGGATACACCGGTTATTATGTTCGTCTAAAACATGGAAGCACTTCAGCAAAATAATTCCTGGACGTGGCACGCTCACTTGCAGGGCTCTCGGCCGTCACTGTGCGATCGGTCTCTAGTGGTTCGCTGACTCCAAAATCATTTTCAGCACGCACACGGAATTTGTACTGATTTCCCTCCTCGAGACCAGTGACATCGTACTCTGGCGCGCGCACAAATCGACTGACTGGAACCCATTCACCAGTCCTCTTATCCATTTTTTCCACCACATAATTGGTGATAGGACTGCCGCCGTTGTCCTGGAGTGAGAAGAGGGAAGATAAATTTCCGAGTAGTTAGGACTCATTTAGCACCGATTCGGAAGGCATACAGTGCACTAAACTAGGGAGAACACTAGAAGACTACCAGACTCAACTTTTGTTGTGAGGCGCATTCCACCAAAACGATTGGTAGTGTGTTCTGCCATACAGCTTTGGTGCAGCCGTAGTTGATCCCTCAATCCGCATGAATCGCAAAATCGATAAGGAAATTAGTATTTGGGAAAAGAAGCTGACTGAGTTAAGTGGTTCGTAGGAGGCATGAACCGACAATGGTTCATGCCAAATGTAGTTTACTTTATTAGTGGTTTTGTGAGTAGTATAATATTGTAGAAAGTAGAAGCTACGATTAAACTTTGCACTTTGGTAGGGCAGCGGACCGGTAATCCGTATGTCCGGGGTTCGATTCCCCGTCGAGGCAGATTATGGTGCAAAGTTTAATCGTGGCTTCTACTTTCTACAATATTACACTAATCACAAAACCACCAATAATCTAAACTTACCATCGCCCTTTGAACATCTGAAGAACAGATAGTTCGGTTCATTGGGAAGTGACGAGTGAGTGGGCCAATCTGCAACACCAGGACAGATACTGTGAGCTTATTGGCAATACGTCGCGAACCAAGCAAATGTAGTTTACGCTTGCGAGGCTTCGGGGGACGGCTTCACACATCAGGCTGAGGTACGAGCTAAGTACCAAATACCTCCGTGGAGTAACACCGACTTTTTACTGATTCACCAAGTGCTTAGTGTTATATTTTACCATTCCAATTAAATAAATAAATTTATGTGGTTATTCTCGATGGGTTATCCTCCATCGATAGGCAGCTGTTTGTACAGTGTGTTGTTGACAAGGTGTAGGTGCCTTGACCCCGAACGTCTCCTAGGGCGCTTAAGTTCCACACTGAGACCCCCTTCTCTCCCTCTTATTCTGCTTCATTCCTAAGCTCACCGTGATTATACGGCAGAGAAACATCAGTTCAAATGGCTTAGGTACAGCTGTTGAGGATGATGACGATGATGATAAACATACTTTACTTGCGTTTCCAATAAACATCCCAGATAGGCTGCTGCTTATGTAACTAGAATCACTTGGTTTACTGGCCGCATACACTCGCTATTTGCGTGGAGATGATGCGCATATTTGGTGTCGCGTCAATTCGGTCGTGTTAAAGTTGGGGAATGAAGTGGCATATTGCTTGTTTCTGTACGGTATACCAAGTCTGACTGCAATCAGCACGAGTGTTGACGGAACGCAATAAGTGAGTCGCAGTCATCATCCAGGTTATTCAAGTCTAGGATCGTCATCCATGGCATAACCCACTGGCATCTGGAGATCATGGACTCTGTTCCAGGTGGGACCAGAGGACACACACTAGTGAGTAGTCCCGATAGGACGAAGCGATCGTCTAGTGCGTCTCCGAATACGTAGAGGACCATCTGACTGATGAATTATCTATATGATGCAGCATCTATATCCATGTCATGTGCTACCTTGGGCATATGCTTAGGAGCCGCCAACATTTTCCAGAGGTGAAACAAAAAGTCCCGTGTATACTTACAAGAATATCAGAAGCTGAAGTCTGCGGAGGGAGTATGGCCTTCCTGCCCTAAGTATTTGACCCCTGGTTCTGACACGTGCACTGCAAAGAAAGGTGTTTCGTCAAGCCATGGTTGATGACGCGTTACAAAATCGCTTTCGGAATTCTCCGAAATAGTCATGACATGGTTATTCCTCGTAGTAGCGTCGTGAGACTGACATCCCGGACAGCGCTAAAAAATTCCGCGTTAAGCCAAGGAAACTATCGTATTTGAGGGAAGATGTGGTCCAATGGTACGTCAGCCTCAATTACACACATGCGATCAATGATACTTCCAAGGTGTTGAGACCATGTGAGGTCGGTTGGTGAGCTTACGCCACCATGTCACACAGAGTCCTGTCAGCAGCTTTTCTACTCTGTGTCGGTTGTCCTAGATCGATGTCATTGGCTTCAATTAGTCAGATGACTGCTAACTAAAAGGTTAGAAATAGCTGAGTAACCCTGCTTCACGACTCCCTCCATGCTTCAACATGACTTAGATTGCATTTATGAATGGTCAAAGTGGAACATGCTTCAATTGAACATAGCTAAGTGCAAGGTGATGCATCTGCCTCACCAGCCGGTGAGCGCGTACAAGCTTGAAGACCACACCTTGGAGAAGGTCACTCAGTAGCGTGACCTGGGTGTATTGGTACAGGAAGATCTCGGGTGTTCAAAACTAGCAGAGAAGGCGACGAGAACCGGCAATCAAAACTTCGGCCTTCTTCGCAGAGCCTTCGGTCGGTTTGAACCCTTAATCTTCCCCAAATGCTTAACGCCTACGTGCGACCACACGTGGAATATGCTGTTCGGGCGTGGCCGCCATGGCAGAAACAGGATCTCGTTGCTCTCGAGACTCCTCAACGACGGACAACCAAGAACGTCAGGGGCCTCTTTCATCTGCCCGGCTATCTCTAAGAATGTACAGTAGTCGATATCGGCTTTCGCGGGGGGATCTCATTATGGTTTACCAGATTCTGAAGAACCCAAACCACATTTTCCGTCCGCTGCTGGAATTGAACCAGAACACTAAACTAAGAGGTCACCCTCAAACTGACAATTCAGTATAGCCGGCTTGAATGCCGTAGAAATTTATTTTCCCTCCGCGTGTGCCAGCCTTGGAACACCCTCCCTAATTATCTCGTCTCTGCTCCCAATCTGGCGATATTCGAAAAACGTGTTGACGGTGCATTGTCTCACTTACATTTCATTTTATGACTTTTTAGCCAGGGGCCACAAAACGCAATCAAACGGTGTCTTGCCAAACTGTTAACTAATGGATTTATGGAGTTATACGTTTAATACGCGAACATCTCCGCTATTCTACATAAGTCTATGTTGAGTCCACCACAACGGTTTTCACTTTACCATGCAAATCATTTTCGCAATAACTTCCATCCCACGGGACTTGTTAAGCAATTTTTTATCCGTAATAAACCATTGTTCCATTGTTCCATCCGTCTGTGCAATCAAATTGAGATGCGTTCATCGATTATGACACCCGTACTTCGGGCAGTGCATCTGATATACCTAGCTCTGCAGCTACAAATGGCGTTACATAAACAATGAGACACGTGCTGCTTCGTCGTCCGTGTCTTCACTGAACACAAAAGCAGGGGTCTCGTCGACACGGACATTGTGCGGTCCTCTCAGTGAAGCACTCGCAGTGACTTTGGACGGGAATTGCACAGAAAGCGGCCTCTTATTGGCCGGAATCTATGCACTGAAGATGTTCTTATCATGGTCACTTTGAAGTCCATCCTCTTTCCTTTAAAATGGTATACGGCAAAGTGAAAGACGGGTAAATGAGTTGTGTAGGTAGACAAGTATAAGACACCGATAGAATGGCTGAGGATGCATTTATCAGAAACTTAAAAGTGGACGATATTGATTAAACACACACCAACACGAGAACGTATGTGGCAAAATCTTTCAGACAATCGAATTGTGTGAGAATGACTCACAGAAGGCGGGTTCCAAGAAAGTTTGCATGAATCCCCTTTGATGTTGCTGACCTCGAGTGGACCTAATGGGGCCTCCGGAGGACCTTGTACTTTGATCATGACTGGAGCAGTTGCTTCTCCCTTTTCATTTTTCAAACAGATCTGGTGGGGCCCGGCGTCATCTTTCACCACCTTCTTGTCAGTTATTATGACTTCATCGGGTGTGATTTCTACATTGAAACGATCAGAGTCCAGGGGGACGGGGACACCATTCTAGCAAAAGAAAAGCGAGGTGATAGATGATGAATTCACATCGATCCTTAAACGGCTGGTAAGATATGGAAGGACTAAGCGATAGAGAGGCTGTTTACCTTTGTCATTTCGACCTTGTCCGGTGGACTTCCTGTGTATGGAATTCGTATCTTGCACGGTTCACCGAGGCGAGCATTCACCTCTCGAGGGGCGTCGATTCCAATTTTGGGTGCAACTGCATTCGAAGAGAGCATAATGTGATTTTTGCGTCAGTGACAAAATGCATCGGCAGCGTATTGGCATTAACGTTATTCCAACCATAAATGAACATGATGTTTAGGTAATCAAAATGGTAGAATCAAGCGCGAGTACGTTGATTATGGTCAGTTTTTAGCGCCCGCGATTTGGCATGACTCATATTGGGTGTGAAAGTGAGACAGTTGGCAGGATCTAGTAGTAACTGTTTGGAGAGTGTGGCCAAGCAGCGATTGCTCACATCGAAACAATCGAACGATGCCGGTCTACTGAATGTTCTCCACTTTGATAAGACTAATGATGTCTAACCACACAAAATGTTGTGCGCGCCACAAAAACGGACCGAAAAGTCAATTTGTTTCGAGTGGTACTCACCAACAGGCTTCTGAACTTTCACCAGGTCTGTGGGCTCACTTGGTTCGCCGGGGCCAGCGGCGTTGATCGGGATGACACGGAATTCCATTTCCTTCCCTTTGGGTAGATTCTTCACTGTAAAATTGGTTCCTGTGATCGGACCAGTGCTAGGAACCCTTCAGAATGATAACGATTGGGGTTTTTAATCAAAACGGTCTTTATAAAATTTGTGTCTCATAATAGAGCAAAACACATGTACGGTAGAGATGTGTGGATAGGTGATTTTCGTTAGTCTGTCATTTCGAGAGAATAGTTAGTGCATAGCTGCAATGTGTTGTCTCTAGGTCCTACCTAAGTAATGCTTCCGTTGTATGGGCATAAACAATGGAATCCGTCGTTTCGGTAGACTCACTTGGACCATGCTCTCTCTCCTTTGGCCCGCTTTTCAACAATGTAGCCCGTAACCGGACCTTTGATTGGTGGCTCCCAGGCCAGTGTTACCGAATCGTCAGTCGTGTCCTCCACAGTCGGCTTCGACATACCAGAGGGTGGATCTGTTGGGGTAGGTGTAATCGAGGTCTGTAACAAATTGCTTTGTAGGCCCACAGGGTGACCAAAACTCACTAGATGATAAGTAACTCACCGAATGGATGCTTTGCTTTGATAGAGTGGTCCGTCATCAACGGCTCACTGATTCCCATTGCGTTTTCTGCCATTACACGGAATTCATATTCAGTACCCTCATCCAGGTTACGAACGGTGGCAGTCGGCGAGCTGAGGAAACCACTGACTTTCTCCCAACTACAAACGCATCAGAGAGAGTTCAAGTCATCGAGCCAAAGTGGGTTTCAACGATTGAAAACTCGATATCAAATAACCTAATGGATGCCTTACGTGGGAGAGTTTTTCGGTTTCTTCTCCAGTATGTAGTTTGTGACAGGCTCGCCCCCGTCATCTTCAGGTGCCTTCCATCGGAGTGTGATCTCGTCCGCCTTCACTTCGGTGGCTTCAAGCGGCCCAGTCGGAGCAGATGGAACATCTGGGTTTCGAAAACAAAGTAGTCAACGCATTCATTCATTGGAACGATAGTAAACTTCACACTATAGGCGAACGACGAGTGCGCTAAGGGCAAACTACGTACCAATCACTTCGACATTGCACGAAGTTGTCGCCTGACCATGTTCGTTCACCAGTGCTAGCTTGTACTCTCCAGCATCTGCACGTCGTGCTTTCGGAATCGTAAGTACAGCGGTCGCTCCAGGTGACTGTTCCAGTGCTCCACCTGGTCCCGGGTTGGCTGGTGGAGGCAGTGGCTCACTGGTTTCCACTGTCTTCTTACCATCCGCCTTAACAGGCTTTCCGTTAAGAGACCACGATAAAGTGGGTGGCGGAAAACCGAACCAAGCGGCTGCAAGTCGGAGTTCCTGTCCAGCCTGAAGTACATTGGATGAAGACAACAGGAAGCCATTAATACAAGGGACTGGAAACGGCGTTTAAGGATAGCACTGTGGGAAGCATCTGGAGGATTGTAAAAGAAAGTAATTGATCGGAAGATATGAGACGACTAATGGACAACAATCGTCCAGAGCTGAGATTGAAATAATTTAGGTTGTTTAATCTTCTAGTTTTAAGTTTCACTGATTCGGTTCTCTAATTCGCTCCTAATGTATCACTCCCAACTGCTTCCACCCACCCCAGCAGTGAGGAAATGAGGCGAGCTGGAACCGGAGTATGTCTCAACAGGCAATAGTACTTTATAGGAAGTAAAGGATAAATTGGTATATTACAAACCATAGAAATTCAAGCCTGTCTACATCGAGCTATGCTTAACTATGGAGAACGAACATACGTATGCGTTAAATCTCAGAATGAGTTCCACCCAAATGCGGCAGATTTGTCTATTTGGATAGAACAGCTTGCATCTACGTTCGATCGATCAGGCTCGATTGATTCGTTCCTCTGACAATCTCCAAAATAATCAGGCGAGCACCGTGTCAGAGCTAAGTGCCGAGAGTCATCGCTACCATCAGTTCAAGGCGAATCGTGAGGCTGTTTGACTATTTAATCCATACAGGCTAGCGTCACGGACTAACAGTGGCTGTTCCGGTCCCCTGCAAGCTGCGCTGGTCCAATGGGGGAGCCCATGATCGTAAATCAGAAACCGACTGCCCGAGGTGCCACCAAAACTGGACACGAGTGTCCAAATCGCAAATTCAACATCACGTGACACCATCGGTGTACCGTAGATGAGACAATAAGGCCAGAGACAACTAAGGCACCGGATCTGAGTTCCATGTGTTACCCCCGTGTTGCATGTTGTGCGTGTGTACACGCGGCGAGTAGAGGCTTGCTGAAAAGTGCACATCTTACCCAAATTCCAGGGCCACGTGACATTCTCGCTGATAAAACTTGCGGTGACCACGCTTTGATGTGCCGCGACGGACCGCGATCGCAACTCCAGCTGTGGTTTTTCCAGGTGCCGAGGCACAGGCTACGTTTGACCCCAGCAGCCGTTTACTTTTCGACTAAATTGTTATCCCTAGTACATTCTTCATTTTTCACATTTAAACAACATGGTGCTGTATTGTGCAAGTGATCTTAAACCGGTGATGTTGTCATTATGACTTGCTCTGTTTAAGGAAAGGAATGCCGAGACCTATTCAATGTACTTTAATGAAAAGAGGTCGGTGCACGTGACGGTTTGAAGTAGGTTATCCATACTATTAGAAACAAGGGCATGTGTGGCAACATCCTCGGTGGTTTGACTGGCTTTAACAACATGCACCCGAGTGCATATGTACACAAGTGTCACAGGCAATCGCCAGCGCGAATGAGGACTCGTGTTTACGAGTAGACTCAGGTAACAGCAGTACGCCGATACGAAGTCCCGATGATCCGCTGCCGCTCAACTACCAACAGTCACGCGAAGGCTCAGAATACTGTGAGGGTTGACCGGTCCCCTACGTAGGCTCGAACCCGCACCCTCAGACTACACGGCAGGTTTATGACCGTTTAGGCTACGAGTCAACTCACTGGCTGGTGGACCCCTGACCAGACGTGGAACGTCCCAGCAAAGCGCTCATGGTCTTTTTAAGAGGTATTGCTGTTTGAACTGTCCGACAGTCATTTGCTCTCTTTGTCTGCTATTTTGCTCAAGTGTGCATCGATGGCACGTCGATCTGAGCAAAAGTGTAGATAAGTTACACGGATGAATGCGGTAGGAGTTGCCACCAGTCACATGTAAGTTTCAGAGGGTTCCTTCGGGTATATTTGCTCACTTCTAGTAACCCATATGTCTGCCCCATTGATTTCTTGGATCAGTAGAAAGTAGGGTCCTTACCTCATCCGCCTCGTTTGATCAAATCGATACGGTAGATTACTTAGAGATGTTCACTAACATTGGTTTTGCGCAAACACAGGCTATATGCTTCCCCATAATGTTCAAACATTTCTCCTGGCTCACTTGTATTCCCAGAATCAACCTCACATACATTATATACTGTAAAATTACATCATACTTTTAATGTTTGACTTCGGACTACCTACCGTACTGTGCACAACTCACCCACGTCACCCATCACAATCCCGAACTTTCCCAAGCCAACTGACTTGTAAGCCCTCGTTTTCGACATCTTTCAACATAAGGATGTCAAGTGGTGTAATTTGTGAGAGGTTTCAAAACCTTCCGCATCACCCTCAACCACGAACACGCAACCAAGGGCATATGAAAGTGGACAGTAGCCAATTGGTCAGGTCAATGTTGGCTTATTTATTACGCAGTCCACTGGCAGGATCTTTGTGGTTATCTAGTGACAGGTGGTTTTTTCCGGTGGGCAACAACAAGTTTCCATCTGCATCCGCTATTGTAGTGATCGAATATACCAAGCTTCACTTTAATACGAATCATTGTAACTGAGCGTCGCAATCTAATCAGACAAGGTGCGCTTCAAAATAGCCCTCCAATCAAGTTATGGCGTCTGAGTCCGTCTACTCCTACGTTGTCAAAATTTGCCAAAAGAATCAATGCTCACTGTAAGTGAGAAAAATTTGCAATCTCCGGTGCAAATGTCTCTTCGCCGTGTTCAGCCTATTGCTGACGGAGTGAACATTCGTTTTCGCTTGATATTTCCATTGTGGGTGAGCAAGATAAGGTGCCGACACTACGGCCTCAAACGAAATCCAGTGTTCACATCACCGTCGATGTGCCTCTGGCGAACGAATGCTGCTGTCGCACACAGACAATGTAGGCGCAGACCGGCGTGTCTAGGTGACGGAGCACAACGTGGATGTGGACATCCGAAACCTTTCTTGATCGATCAGCCAATGAGAACGAAGAGTACAAGGTAGGATGGCATTCGAGGCTGTGACCAACCGACGAGCGGTCAGGCCCGGACCGAACCGCCGTTGACTAAGCCGGATCCAAAGATTAAGACCCAGGGTAAGCTGAAATTGGTCCATATATAAGCACTGGCAGCAACGGTGACGTCTACTCGACCAATTGCGCAATTATGGAATGACTCAATCCATCCTGGTTTCTCTAGCCCGAAAAACCCGGGAATGAGAAGATGCGGTACGCAGTACCACCATGGCCATTACTGGGTCCAGGAACCTACAAGTCGTTCCTAATTGATTTGCATTAATGGCAGTTACGGCAAATTGCTCCATCACTGAACTGACTATGATCAAACCATCTCCATGGGCACATATTTTCCCGGACTCAGATGCCCACAACTTTGCCTATTCTGCTGCGGCTTACTTTGCATCAGAAGGATACCGTGAACCACCTAGCCATGAATGGTGCGCATTCGGAGTAAATGTGGGCGGGCTGTGGATCATTGGTATCTCATTCGTCCCTCTCGGCCTTATACACGCGCACATTTAAAATGAGAGCGGTGGGTGGTGCAGTGCAAGCCACCATAATATACGCGTTATGTAGTCGAACCAAGAAGCGGCGTAACGGCTGAGGTCTGTAAACCGGTCGTAGATCACTAATTCTCCACACTGTGCTGATGCTTCCACCGAGAGGTTACCTATTTGGTTTGTGATATGGAAATTGTCGTGGATGGTGGAACAGCGATCCGGCCGGATGTGAAACAAAACACTGTCTTCGCTCACATTCCACTTTAAATAATCACTCACCATACAACAGCCGCTCCAAATCTGGCAAGGATACTATTGTTGGGGCACATGATGGCCTGTAAGAAGACGAAATTGAAGAGCTCGATTAGCGCAACTGACTTGTAACAAGCCTTAAGACGACAGTTCGAAGGATGTACCCATCTACAGCGACACAGGTTTACCAGCCTATGGTACTGTATGGCTCCGCGAACACAAAACAGCACCGGGCTGTGGGCGCAGTTTATCCGCCGTAAAGGAAGTCATTCGCAAAATCATCATCGTCATCAGTATACGTTAGCTGAGGGTCAGAAAGAAACCCCCAGCTAATGTGCCGCAATACAAAAAGATAAGACTAAAATATTACACTATAAATTACACTGCAAAAAGTATGAGAACTATTATATCATGCGCTTTACATGAAATCGGGATTGGAGAGGAGGGACAAAGGAACTCACAACACAAACGCCATTGGGGCCGGCTCCCAGCCATATCAGCATGTGTGTCCAACCAAACGTGATCATCGTCTTTAGGACCCTAGCCAGGCAGTTGGGATTAACCAATCGACGCCAGCTTCGAAGTGTTTTTACTCCTCTCGACCAAGTCATTGCTTGGCCTCCCCTCCACCTCTTCCAACTGCACCCCCGGCACGCAAACAATGCACCTCGCTGGAGTCGGTGTGTTGGCATGCGCAACATGTGGCCCAGCTATAGGAGCCTGGTGCGTGATATAATGATGCTGAGCGGTTCACTCGCTCTTCCTGCACCAAATGCGCGACGCCGAACACGCTCATTGCTCACTCGGTGCTCCCACCAAACATGAGCTAAGCTGCGAAGGCAGCGATGATCGAATGTGACAAGCCTCTTTATGTCTGTCAACTTGATGGGCCGTATAGGAGAGTTGAACGGACGGCTGCATTTTAAACTCTGCCCTTCAGGTCGAGAGTAATGTCGGGTTTGCATCACAGGTGGCGGAGATTGGCAAAAGCACCTCGAGATTTTGCTATACGGCTCGTAAGCTCATCTTCGATTCCACTGGCGCTACTATAGCCGCCCAGGTATTTGAATTCCTGAACGACTTTTAGCTGATCACCGCCAAGTGTTAGCGCAGGGATGGGTCCCTGCCAACCTTGGAGAAGTAGTTTGCCTTTTGATGGAGCAAAGCATAGCCTTAACCAGAGAGCCAAAGCTAATCGGTCCAGTGGTGCTTGGCATGTTTGGGAGCTGTCACCGATTAGGTCAATTTTGTCCGCATACTACAAGTTAAGAAGTCGCTCACCAGGAAGTAGCTTCACACCTTCTAGGTCGTGTCCAGCGGA